GGCCCCAGCCCTGTAACACTGCCCCCCCAGCCCCCCCCCCCCAAAAAAAAGCTAAGAACTAAAAACCAATCCAACAGTGATAATCATGACTTCAGGTAGCAGGGATTATATGCAAAATGTTGCAATGTGTATAGACATCCCCACCCCCTTCTGAAGAGTCCACACTTCTTATTAGTTTCTCACAGAGGGCATTGGCAACATTTTAAGACAGTGGCCAGGACTGGCTGTGTTTAGATTTGGAATTGGTGTCAGGAGTTTGTGGTTTTAATCTGCTTAGCTTCCTTGGCTCTTTTTCTTGTGTTAGCCTCCATTTAGGAGGGTCTCAGTCTTTCTCACTGCTGTTGAAGAATCTTCTCTTTTCATCTGGCTGCTAAATCTGGAGAATGCAATCTAGAAGATGTTTTCATGGATCGCCACCCTACCCCCTCTATGAAGGACGCCCAGTTGCCCAGTTGTCCATCTGGGATGGGAGCAGGAAGAGAAAGGAACCGATAGGATCCAGGTCCAGATTCCTGAGACCAGTTTTCCTCCCTCCTTTCCTTTGCTCTCTTCCAGCCTCTTCTTCTTCTCCCATCTGTGCTATGGGAGTGGAAATTTTAGCCAGGCAAAGGTTGGGATGGAACAGTCCAAGGATCAGAAAGTGAGTTAAAGGCACAGGTATGGAAAACAGCATGGTTTGGGAGGTCTGGTTCCTGGACTGCTAAGAGGGGATCAGCTCCGTGGCTAATAGGATCCACCACAGCGAATCTCCCAACATGGCACGCACTGCACGAAGGGCTGAAGCGCTGGGGTGGATCGAGGTCAAGATTAGAGACTCAGGAGCGGAAAGAGGGAGGCTTAAGGAGCCAAGCTGAGCATTCAGGACTGGGTGATGGGCGCGGTTCTGTCAAGCAGCAGAATGAAGACTTAGTCCCATCCCCCACTGATGGTGGAGGACTGGCCCAGCCGCTCTCCTTCCCCCCTCCCCCCATATCCTCCTTCCCCCCGTACCTTGGCGACCCAGGGCTAAGACCATCTCGAATCACCGATGACTTGTTCAGGCACTAAGGGTCTGAGCCCGAGATCAGTCGGGAAGGTTGGGGAGAGGACTAGAGAAAGATGACTTCCCTAAATCTGTGTGCTTCCTCCTTTCCTCCCCCTTTTGGCCCCTCTTGGTAGCACCTTCTTGATCCCCTTATCTCTAAGGCGCTCAGGGAAATGCCCCCGTGCAGAAGCCGTCTGGGAAACGCTTCTCTGACTGCCTGGGAACCATGAGCCCTGCAACTCCGGTAAGGAAAGTTTTCTTGAATATGAGGGCCAGGGGTGGGGTGGGCCCTTCTAAATAGAGGATGGACCAGGCGCCTTTCAGACCCTGGCAATCCCTGATCTCTGGAAGGTATGCCTTGTCTGCTCCTATGTGGGGATTTGAAGTCGGGCAATTCAAGGAAATGATCCTGGATGGGGCAGACCTAGGCAGACCTAGGAGACAAAGAAACACTCTTCTTCCCCACTTGGGAGCTGGGCCCCTCTAACCCTCCAATCTTTTTTGTTCTCTTCCTATTTTTTGAATTGGGATCAGCCCTGGCTGATGTTAAACTTGTGAGCTCAAACCATCCTTCTGTCCTAGTCTTCATAATAGGTGGAACTACAGACATGTGCAACCATTCTCGGATTTCTAATCCATTTTTGACTGTGCTCTAGATGAACTTTTCCCAAATGCAACCCATTTATCATACCGCCTAAACCCTTGAAACGCTTTCCCAAGCTGCAGTTACTACTGTGCCATAATATCCAAGCTCTTAGCCTGTCGTCTAAGGCCTTTATGTTATAATCTAGCAAACTCTGCAGCTTTATCATCTGCTGCTCTCCATGCTCCCCCACACTGTCTTTTATTTTCTAAAAATAATGCACAATTGAACTTTTTTTTTGGGGGGTGAGGTACTGGGGATCGAACCCAGGGGTATTTAACCACTGAGACACATCCCTATCCCTTTTTATTTTTTGAGACAGGGTCTTGCTAAGTTCTTAGAGCCTTGACTAAATGGCTGAGGCTGACTTTGAACTTGTAATCCTACTGCCTCAGCCTCCTGAGTTGCTGGGATGACAGGTGTGTGCCACAGTGCATGGCTACCCTTGAACTTTTTGACCAGAGCTCATATGGACTCTTGTTTAGCCTGTAAAGCTACTACCCATCCACTGAGACCTTTCAACCTCCACTGGGATGCCTTCCCCAATCTCTTGGTCAAAGACTGACTCTTCTTTCTCCTTGTTAAATCACATTCTTTGCTTTAACTGTGTGTTTACACTTAGTCTCCCCAGGAGACAATAAACTAGGAGTGGAGGGCAAGGGCATGTCAGAGGCTGCCCTGGAGCCCAGTGCTGTACTTCCTAAAAACCAAGCTTCAAAAAACTATGCAAGCCAGGCCGTGGCAAATGTCTGTAATTCCAGTGGCTCTGGAGGCTAAGGCAGGAGGATCACAGCCAGCGTCAGCAACTTAGTGAGGCCCTAAGCAACTCAGCAAGACCCAGTCTCAGAATAAAAAATAAAAAGGGTTGAGGTTATGGCTCAGTGGTTAATCATTCCTGGATTCAATCCCCAGAACCAAAAATACAAACAAACAAACAAACAAACAAAAACCATGCAAAACTGGAGTCTGGTCTCTCCTGGAAACTTTACTTTTTTTTTTTTTTTAAGAAAATTAGTTTACAGATTTTTAAAAATTGATTTTTAAAAAGTATACTTAAAAACTCAGCTCTTTATGTGGGCTATGGTGAAGGTGATGGGGCAGCACCTGCAGGTCTAAATTAGGGTGGGGTGTTCAACCCTGTGAGACTAAGGAAGTCAATTCCTGCCTCCCTCCCTTGCTGTGAATGGCACATTCATGCAGTGATGGAGCTTCACAGGAAGCTTGGGAAGCCACAGGTGCCAAAGACTGGCTTCTGGAATGACTCTGACAAGTGAGGCTACAGCTTCTGCAATGTTTCTTTCTTTCTTTTCTTTTTCTTTCTTTCTTTCTTTTATATATGTTTAGTTGTAGATGGACACAATACTTTTATTTATTTTTATGTGGTGCTGAGGATCAAACCCAGTGCCTCAGGTGGGCGAGGCAAGGGCTCTACCACTAGCCACAGCCCCAGACCTCTGCAATGTTTCTAATAACATTTCTTTTTCTTTCTTCTTTCTTTCCTTCCTTCCTTCCTTCCTGCCTGGGAACTCTTAGGCTCATGTGGTTCTCTGGCCTCAGACTCCCAAATTGTTGGGATTATATAGGTGCACACCACTGCAGGTCTTGCTCTGTGGAATTTTATTTATTTATTTAGTACCGGGGATTGAATACAGGGGCGCTTAACCACTGAGCCACACCCTAGCCCTTGTTTCTATTTTATTTAGAGACAGGGTCTGGCTAAATTGCTGAGCCTGGCTTTGAACTCGTGATCCTCCTGCTTCAGCTTCCGGAGCTGCTAGGATTATAGGCGTGCACCAAGGCGCCTGGCCTCTGCAGAACTTTTTAATGGCCTTGTCCTTGGGTGCTCACAGGATACAATTGGCACAGCCATCCTTTTTAATAGCCTTGTACTCACACATCCGGTGTTCATGCACAGAATTGTGTCTGTGTGTGATGATGGGGACGGGATTGGGGATTGAATGAACCCAGGCCTCCCTCGTGGTAACAAGCACTGAGCGCTTCCCAGCTCCTTTTGTTTTATTTTGGGAAAGTGTCTCACTAAGTCATCCAGGCTGGCCTTGTATTTTCCATCCATCCTGCCTCAGCTTCCGGAATCGCTGGGATTACAGGAGTGCGCCAGGAACCCAGCTGGAGTCAAATTCTTTTTTAAAATTTTTTTTATTTTATTATTATTTTTTAAAATTTTAGTTGTAGTTGGACACAATACCTTTATTTTTATTTATTTACTTTTATGTGGTGCTGAGGGTCAAACCTAGAGCCTCGCACGTGCCAGGCGAGCGCTCTACTGTTGAGCCACAACCCCCAGCCCCGAGCCCAATTCTTAAGAAAAATTATTTTAGCTGGGCATAGTTGTGTTGCACACACCTGTAATCCCAGCGACTCGGGAGGCTAAGACAGGAGGATCACAAGTTTGAGGCCAGCCTCAGCAACTTTGTGATATCGTGTCTCAAAATAAAAAAGGGCCGAGGATGTAGCTCATTTGTAGAGTTCTCCTAGCTCCTGGATTTAATCCCCAGTACAAAAAAAAAAAAAAAAAAAAGGAGGGGGGATATTTGTTGTAAAGGCTGAGGTTACAACTCAGTGGTACAGCGCGTGCCTAGCATGTTGCGTGCCCTGGGTTCGATCCCCAGCACTGAAGAAAATATACACAGTTAATGAGTGAGCAAACGTTTTAGTAAAATAATCTGGACGCGTTGGCGCACACCTAGGTACTTGGGAGGTTGAGGTAAGGGAATTATTGGCGACCAAACTGGGCGACAGAGCGCCACCCTTTCTTTAAAAAAAGAAAAAAAAATTATGTTTTTTTTTTTTTTAATAAGCATCTTAGAATTTAGTCAACTTATTGAGCAAATTTGTTTAGGTGAAAACTGTGTAGGCTTCATTAGTCAAAAAGTTTTGGGGTTGGGGATGTGGCTCAAGTGGTAGCGCGCTAGCCTGGCATGCGTGCGGCCCAGGTTCGATCCTCAGCACCACATACAAAGATGTTGTGTCTGCAAAGAACTAAAAAAAATAAATATTAAAAATTCTGTCTCTCTCTAAGAAGAAAAAAAAAGTTTTGTAGTTGGGTTTTTAATTTTGGCATGTAATAGATGCTCCTTTACTGAGAAAAAAAAATTGTTTTATACATTGAGCTAATTGCTTCATTTAGGGAATAAAAAATTTGAGAAGAAATGTCAGTTCTAAAAAAAAGACCCGCCGAGTCAGTAAAGGACTACCACTCATGTGAGCATCTCCTGCCCTTCTGCAGGGTTGCAAACTACAAGTCCCAGCATGCTTCGGTCATCACCTCTTCGCGCCACGCCCCCTCCCTGGGGGTGGGGCGGGTCTGCAGGGCGGGGCCCCGGGGCCTCTAGGTCCCGGGCGAAGCCTGGCAGTGAAATGCCCCAGGCTCTCTGAGGCGCACAAAGCGCAGGCTCAGCGGGTTGGGTGGCAGCTGCATCGAGTAGCGCTGGTTTTGGCAGCAGCATCCACAACAGGTGTAGACAGGTGGGTGCATCAAGGGGGGCTGGAGAGGGAGTACTCACCTGGCCTCTTGATCTATGTCAGCTTGGAGGGGAGGGAGCCTATGAGAAAAAGAGACCTGGCCAGGTCTTCCACCCCAGGTGTGCCAGCCTTGTTACGCAGAAACAGGTGTGAGCAGGTGGGGGCGGGGTAGACACACCTGCTCACAAATAACTCACCATTAGGAATAAAGGGCACCTGGTTTCCAATCCAAGTTTTGTCATATACGTGGATTAAGTCATTTGCTGCCCCTCTGTCCATCCGAAAGGAGTAAAACTCCTAACAAAATTACAATGGGGACAAAGTGAGGTAGTTGCCCACAGCGACTCCCAAACTTTGCTGTGCAGTGGAATCGCTTCGGAATCTTTAGAGACTAGCAGTGCTTGCCTCTTCCACAAATGATGATTAATTGTCATGGGGCCTGACCTGAACATTGCATGTTTTCAAAACTCCTGCTGGGTTTAATGATGAAAAGCCAGGCCTGCTGAGTGTGGATCCTGGCTTCAGTGCTTACTGCTAATCAACAGGATCTGTACAAGTGACTGGACCCAGTTTCCTCATCTCTAAAGTGGGAATTATAGCAAGGATGGCTGAGAGGCTTAAATGAGATGATAGGTGAAAGCAGAGAAGTACACCTAGCACACAGGACTCCATTAGTCATAGCTGCTGTTAAAGTATTATTTTATGCACTTTGTGAGTGGGTTCAGCTGGGAGGGAGGCTTTTCTTACTGTGAAATTCCCTCAGTTATTGCCATGATTCTGATATTCCATGCTGCTAGCATTTCAGAATCCCCTTTTCTAGTATTTGAGTTTTAGGAGTTCCTCACTCCAGCACCTACCTGCTTCATAGACACACTTCTACCTGCCTTGGGACACAGTTTCATAGAAATTGAGGCTGGCCTGGAAGGTCAAGGACAAGGGACTTGACAAAGGATTTGGAGTTGAGATTGGAATCCAGGCTCCTGATCCCTACCCCCCACTCCTGCCCCGCCACATCATAGCTGGTGGTAGCCCTGATGACCCCACGAGGACAGAGGACAGAGCTCTCATTCTCTGGCTGGAGTAGAGAATGGGGAGGAGATGGAGGCTGCCTGGCTCTTGTTTGTTTACTGCTTTAAAAGTTCCCTGGGTGGTTCCCCAGGGAGAACTGGGGGTTCTTCAGGGAGTCTGGATCTGATGAGGACTGTGTGCCTGGGTTCCTCTGACAGGTCCCGCCTGACTCCATCCTGGAAAGTCCCTTTGAAGAAATGGCCCTGGTGAGGGGCGGCTGGCTGTGGAGACAGAGTGAGTGATCCTGAGCCAGACCCTCTCTATCCCTCTTCTAGTTCCCGGGCAGGGGTGAGGGAAGCAGTGTTAGGCCAGCAACAGGAAAATCAGTTCTCCTCTCCTCCCTTGTCCATGCTCTTCTCCCTGCCCAGTGTCCCCCTATTCCTGACTGCCTGGCAGACTTCTAATTAATCATCAACATCCAGCCAGGTGTCCCTTTCTTGATGAGCCTTCTCTGACTTTTCCTCTAACCCTCACTCTTGCCACTGCATCAGCCTGGCTCAGAGGCCCCCTTCCCTGTTCCTGCAGTGAGTTTTAATGTAACTGTCTTTACTTATGGGTCTCCCAGTCCTCCACCCCATACTGGCCCTAGAGTGTGAGCTCCTCAGGACACAGACTGAGTTTGACCCTCTGTGTATCCTCAGCAGCCCAATCCAAGGCTGGAACACAAACAAGCCCCAGAACAAAAGGAAAATATCTCTGCTTTGAAATCCACAAAGCTCTGAGAAGCCGTCTTATGTCTGCTCTTTCCTCTTACGATTCCAGTTGCAAAATGTCTGAAGCTCTAGTGGTTTCAGGCTTTCAGACCTGTCTCTGACCGGATTTTTGATCTGAACAAGAGCTATCCTGGGAACCCCTGGGACCAAGACCCCCATACCCCATGCCCCCTGCCCATTCAATTTGGCAAACACTAAACACAGGTTCTGCTAGTTCTATGATCTGTGTGGGTAGCTGTGGCCTCCCAAGTCTGGTAGAAGAGGCAGACATGACACAAATGACTATCATACAAGCTAAGATAGGAGATAAGAGAGAGGCTTAGGGTAAGGAGATATTGGTAAGGTATGGGCCAGTGAGAGAAAGTAGTTGACCAAGACAGAAAGGGACCCTGTGCCCATTTTAGAGGTGGATATACAAGAAAGGGGTTAAGAGGTTAACATACTGAGGGCTAGGACTGAGGGGATTCTGGGAGCCCATCTGGGGCTCTTGCCCCCAGCAGGCTCTGGGATTAGTTCGCTGGGCGGGTCTGGAATATCACGCAGGCTCCATCCTCCGCCGCTGGAAGCGAAACTGGTTTGCACTATGGCTGGATGGGACGCTGGGCTACTACCATGATGAGACAGCGCAGGACGAGGAAGACCGTGTGCTCATCCAGTTCAATGTCCGTGACATAAAGATCGGCCAAGAGTGTCATGGTGAGCAGAAGCCCTTCCTCTATGGCATTGTGTCCAGGGGAGAGTCCTTCCACTGTTTCTGAGAACACCAGCAATTGGAAGCCTCTTTGCAGCTTTCAGAAGGCTCCCACTGACACTGCTTCTGGGCCTTTGTCAACCCCACTTCAGTTAGAGGTGAAGTAAGAAATTACTGCTTTGTCAAGTTCCTACTCTGTGCCAGTTGCAGAGACAAGTCAGACATGAACTAGATGAAATAAGGAGACTCAGAGAAGTTAAGTGACTGGCTAAGAGTCACACTAATTTGGCTAATCTCTAAATTCTTCAACCAAGGTTTAGGCCACAATTATAACAGAGAAAACTGGAAGATGTTCATAAGGAAACTGGTAATGTGGGTTGGCTGAAAGGGTACAGCAGAATCCTCAGAAAGTGTGGGGATCAGAGGAGGGTAGAAAAGACCAATCAGTTCCTGTTCTTGTTCCTAGTTTCTGGGGGGATCTGGGACCTATACCTGTGGAAAGTCCACCAGTGTATGTCTGCTTCCAGATATACAGCCCCCAGAGGGCCGGAGCCGAGATGGCCTGCTGACCGTGAACCTGCGGGAGGGCTCCCGCCTGCACCTGTGCGCAGAGACTAGGGATGATGCTGTGTGAGTAGCTCTTGGGAGAGGATGCGATAGAATCTTAGGGAATGAAACCAGACACCCTCTTCTTCTTGGGCCTTCCAGTTCCCCAACAGTAGGAAGAGGGTCTGAGACCAGTAAGGTGGTGTCATGGAGGCTGGGCAGCAGGGAGACAGATGATGATGGTTGGTATGGTAAGCAGTGGGCTCTTCACATGATCTATGAGCTCAAAGTGTGGAGGCAGAGGTGTGCACACCTGCCTCAGGTGCATGTTCCCCGGGCATTCAGAATGTATTTAGCAGCTTCTGAGGGGAGTCTTCAGTTGGGGGGATATAAAAGAGCAAACAAAGCCAATGGCATCTGAAAAAGGACCCTGCCTCCTACTCCTTTCTGAGCAAATGCCCTGACATGGGGACTGAGATCTGAAGGGTAGACCCAAACCTGCCTGTGTGCCAGGCAAGGGAACCCCAATGTCAGATGCATATCCACACTGAGCCTGGAGGTGTCCTTGGGTACCATCTGTTCCCTCACATTCCTTGCCTTCCTCCCCTCCGGCTGAGGGGGTTAGCCTTTGCACTGGGGGGAGAGTAAAGAGATGGGTGTGTGGGAGTGGGGGAAGCTGAGCTCCAGGCACACAGCATAGAGCCGCCTTGTCCACCCCAGCCAGGTGCCATGGCAACCAACAAAGGCCCAATTGTCTGGTGTCCACTGGGCATTCCCAAGGGTCAGAGCTCTGGAGAGCTGTGTTTGTAGGATTGCTATGTGGAGGTGGGCTGCAGCTAGAGCACCCGCCCAGGCATGTCAGAATCGTAAGTCCCTTAAGAGACCCCCCTAAGCCCAATTGTCCACTGTATCTATGGAAAAACTGGAACTTCTAGAGGGGAGGGGACTGTGTTCTAAGAATGAATTAGCCTAACTAAGGGTCCATCCATGTGACAGGGGCAGGGGAGGATCACTCTTGTCTACCTAAAGGAGTCAAGTGGATCTGACTCCTTTTCATGAGATTGGGGTTAGAGAGGAAAAGTCTAGAATGTGAAGGTCTGAACCCCCTTCTTTCAAACTATCACCTCATGGTCTTGGGGATTTGCTTTGCAGAGCATGGAAGACGGCATTGCTGGAGGCGAACTCCACTCCGGTGAGCCCCATTTTCTCTCCCTTCTTCCCAGCCCCATGTGCCATAGAATCATGGGTGATTCAGACTCGGTCTCTGCCTGTCAGCAGTTCTCAATCTAGTGCTCCTATGCCTGGGCAGACTCAGATTCCCTGAGTCCCACATGGAAAAAGAGGAAGGACAGCCAGCTGGTAACTCAGAGGAGAGAGGTAGAGAAGCCTCCATGAAGACCAAGGGTGCTCTTAAAAAAAAAAAAAAAGAAGAAGAAGCCTCCATGAAGACTTGGAGGAGGGGGTGGCATGTGAGCTAGGGGAAAGGAACTTTTATCGAGCAACTATTATGTTCCAGGTGTGACGTAGGTCTACTTCCAAATACAATAGTCCTGTGAGGTCAACCTTGCTACCTGGGATTATTGTTTCTCAGATATAGACTGAGTTTCATTCATTCTGTACAATAAATATTCATTGAGTTTCTACTATGTTCTAGGTACTGTGACAAGTGCCAGGGATCAGAAATGAACTGAGGGGATGTGGGCCCTGTCCTCCTGGACTCAGCCTAGTGAGGAGTCAGATGTGAAACAACTGATTAGTTAATGATTCCATTGCAATATTGGTAACTGCTCTCGACTCTTTGGTGGCCTGATCCAGGTGGGAATTCAGATAAGGCTTAAGCTGAGACCCGAAGGATAAACAGAAATTGACCAGGTAAACAGTGTGGGGATGTAGTGAAGGGAACAGCTTTCCAGGTAGATGAATTAGACGGTTGATCCATCCATGGTAGATGGCTGTGCAAAGGCTTGAGAGGGGTTAAGATTGTGGCAGGTAGAGGAACAGAAGGAAAAATGGCTGAGGTGACTGGAGCTCAGGAGGGGGGCAGTTAAAAAGGATAGTTGGCAGGACCAGGCTTTGTGGGCAGTGTTAAGGATGCTGGTTTCTGCTGAGAGCATCAGGAAGCCATCGAAAATTTGTAAACAAAGGGATGGCATGATTAGATCAGAATTACATATCCAGCCCATTTTATTTTATTTTTATTTTTTTTTATAATTTTTTTTTTTTTTTTTTTTAATTTTTTATTGTGGGTTGTTCAAAACATTACAAATTTCTTGACATTTCATATTCCACACTTTGATTCTAGTGGGTTATGAACTCCCACCTTTTTATAATTTTTAATATTTATTTTTTAGTTTTCGGCGGGCACAACATCTTTGTATGTGGTGCTGAGGATTGAACCCGGGCCGCACGCATGCCAGGCGAGCGCGCTACCGCTTGAGCCACATCCCCAGCCCCCCATTTTATTTTTTGAGACAGGGTCTCACTGAGTTGTTGAGGTTGGCCTTGAACTTGTGATCTTCTTGCCCTAGCCTCCTGAGTGGCTGGGATTACAGGTGTACACTATCATGCCTGACCAGACTTGGATTTTTTTTTTTTTTTAATTACTGGGAATTTAACCAAGGGGCAATTTACCACTGAGCCACATCCCCAAGCCTTTTTTGTTTTTATTCTTTTTTTTTTTTTTTTTTTTTTTTGGTACCAGGGATTGAACTCAGGAGCCCTTGACTACTAAGCCACATCCTCAGCCCTATTTTGTATTTTATTTTAGAAACAGGGTCTCACTGAGTTGCTTAGCACCTTGTTTTTTTTTTTTTTTTTTTTTTTGTAGATGGATAGCATGCCTTTATTTTATTTATTTATTTTTATGCAGTGCTAAGGATCAAAACCAGTGCCTCACACATGCAAAGCAAGTGCTCTGCCACTGAGCTACAGCCCCAGCCTAGCACCTCGATTTTGCTGAGGCTGACTTTGAACTTTGAATTACAGGTGTGTGCACCATACCTGGCTCCCTTTTTTTAATTCTCAAAGAATAAAATTGCTGGGGCTGGGGTTTTGGCTCAGTGGTAGAGCGCTTGCTAGCACTTGGGAGGCACTGGGTTCAATCCTCAGCATTACATAAAAATAAATGAAATAAAGGTATTGTGACCATCTACAACTAAAAAATATGTATATATCAAAAAAGAAGAAGAAGAAGAAGAAGGAGGAGGAGGAGGAGGAGGAGGAGGGAGAAGAGGAGGAGGAGGAGGAGGAGGAGGAGGAAGAGGAAGAGGAAGAAGAAGAAGAAGAAGAAGAAGAAGAAGAAGAAGAAGAAGAAGAAGAAGAAGAAGAAGAAGATTGCTGAATTGCTTAGGGCCTTGCTAAATTGACTCCTAAACTGCTGGGATTACAGGCATGCACCAAGGCACCTGGACAGATTTGGATTTTTAATGAGAGTCTGGCTGGTAGTTAGGGAATGAATTGTAGTGTGGGTGCCTAGGGACCAGCTTGGAGGCCAGGACAGTGTTCAGGCAACAGTTCTGGATGGAGGCCTCGCTGGCAGAGACAGGCTGATGATTACAGGACATATTTAGTGTTGCGACCCCCTTGCCCGCAAGGAAGACGCAATTCGAGAATCTTCTCTCAACAGTTTTATTCAGGTCCCTGGATATTTCTTCTTCTCCCTCGGGTGCCCCTCCCAGCCTTAATAAAGCATCCCAAGCCCCAATGCAAAGCTGCCGCGTGGAACTTTCTCACAGGGTGATGAAAAATCATGTGCCAACTTTCCCAGATAAGAAGTTGTTTGTCACAGACCACAGCGGAGCCAGCGCCATCTTGTAATGGCGACCATAATCTGCAGAAACGGCAGAAGCGGCTCACCACAATTTAGGAAATGCAGTCAAAAGAGCTTAGTGACTGATGGAGACGTGAGTTTAAAGAGCTGCCAAGGCCCAGCATGACCTCTATTCCTGCCTGTCAGATTCCAGAATCTATGCTTGCTCCTTCTGTTTGTGGCATAATGGAGCCTGCTGTCATCTAGAGAGAAAGTCTACTGAGAAAGAGCAAAGGAGCCTGGGATGCATGTAGAAACCCCCTTGGGGGCCAGGCATTGTGCTGAGCACCCAGTTACGCCAATTCATCCTCCCACAGCCCTGGAAGAGGGGTGGGGAGAGCCTGGGTATTGATATCATCAGTTGCATTTTACATATAGGGAAGCTGAGGTCCAGAGACAAAAAAGTCTAGGTCCAAAGTCTAGGTCTTAATTCAGTGACGAGCCTGTGTTTTGAGAGGAGGCATCTGCAGAAGGAGCTGCCAGAGTAGAGGCAGGGATGTGTGCAAGTGTGTGCACAGGCATGTGGCAGAGGGCCCAGAGTGTGGCCTGTTGGGTGGCCTAGCATGGAGGGAATGACATGGGAGAGAGATTACCTCTGAGGCCCCATCACAAAGGACCTCAAACTGGACTTTTCTTGAGGGTTGTGGGAACAATAAGGGACATTATGTAGAGAGGGCTGTTAGACTTTGGGGGACAGACTCAGGCTTCCAGGATTGGAGGAAGCCAGGAGTGAGGAGGCTGGAACAGTGGTCCGCAGGGAGGAGGAACCCAGGTCGGGCTCACAGGACTCTGAGCTCCAAAGCCCTCGAGTAGGGCTACTCAGTTCCATGGAAGGTGAGGATTGACCGTTCTGCACTCTGACTCTATGAAGCTGCCTTGGCCCTTCTCTATCTGTCCACCCTTCTGCTGCTCTGCTGACCACTTCTCTGTGCCCCACCCTTGATCCTACTTCATTCTGCTCCACACATACACATCTCTGGGCCCTGGCTTAGAGTAGGTGTGTGTGTGTGTGTGTGTCAATGATTTTGTACCTGTGTCTGCTTTGTTTGTGTGCATTCATGTCTGTGGGCTTTTTCTGTCCTTGTGCTTATGCAGGTGTGACCTCCATATGCTACAGGTTCATGCCCCACTCTGGAGGAAGACTCCAGGAGGAGTCCCTGACCTGGATGTACCAGGGAACACAGAACCTGGGGACAGAAATAGCCAGGGGCCAGGCAGGGGTGGTGGTGGTGAAGGGGGCCAGGTAGATGAGAGCTGAGGATACTTGAGAGCTGAGCTGCCCTCTCCTGCCTGGAGACTGGGAGTCCCAGCTGCATTCGAGAGGTGAAGGTGGGCTAGAAAGAGTCGGCAGTCACCATCCCTCTCTGTGTCTCTCCTCCTTACCTTGGGCTGAAAAGGAAGAGGACACCCCCTTGCCCCAGCCCAGTTGGCAGAGAGCACTGGTAGGGCCTGCTAAGAGCTCAGTCTCTCCAGGCATAGAGGGCCTCTGACACCTATGTCCCTCCCCCTTCTTGGGTTTCTGTGGCTTGAGCAGGCCCCAGCTGGAGCCCCCGTCCCACTCAGGAGCCGCCGGGTTTGCCCCAAGGTCAGGTGTGTGACCCGATCGTGGAATCCCTGTAAGGTTGAGAGGCGAATCTGGGTAAGTGCTGGCTAGCCCTCCCTGCCTCCACTCTGGACACCAGGATGAGCCTCTCCAAAACAGTCCCAGTCACCACTCTTCCCTCTCACACACACTCACTGGATACCCACCACGGCCTGGTTTTTAAGGCCTGTAGAATGTAGCTAGTCTCACCTGCTACCTCCCCTCATCCCTGTGCTCTGCTGTGCCCTCTGCCCCAGCCACTCCTGCTTTCTCCTTTTCCCGCACCACAAATGCCATTCTCTCTGCCACCAAGATGCCTAGTTTTCTCATTCACCTACAAACTGGTGCTCATCCTTAAAGGCCCACCTCAGATGCTGCCACCTCCTCAGTGAGATGTGCTCAGTGATGTGGACAGTTTATTCTGAACATTCCTAGTACATGAGGGTCTAGCAGAAATAGGTCTCAGAGTATGCTCATGGGACAAGTGAATGAAAGGAGGGAGGGAGGGAGGAAGGAAGGAAGGAAGGAAGGAAGGAGGAAGGAGGAAGGAAGGAAGGGAGGAAGGGAGGAAGGAAGGGAGGAAGGGAGGAAGGAAGGGAGGAGGGAAGGGCAGGGCCAGGCCTCAGTATGGCATTATTACCACCTATTATAGTTTAGTTCGGGTCTGCCTGTCCTCTCCCTGAATGTTTCTTGGAATCAGGACTTGGGCTTGAACCACTTCTGTCCCCAGTGCTCAATACAGGTCCAGCCAGGATGGGATAGGTGGCAGTGGGGCTTGAGTAGAGTGTCTATAGTCTTACAGTTGACTATGAACTCTTCTTACTCAGTGGTGCTCAGTGAGGCTGTGTGTTAGAATTGCTTAGGGACTTAAAACAACAACAGATATTAAAATGTTACCTCTGGATGCTCTAATTTCATAGGTCTGGGGTGGGGCATAGGAAATCTGTAGTATTTATAGATTTAATTTTATTTTTTGCAGTGCTGGGGATCAACCCAGGGCCTTAGGCATGCTAGGCAAGCACTTTACCACTGAATTACATCCCTAGCCTCAGGAGTGAATTTTTTAAACTATAGATTTCTGGGCTAACGTGCTCACCTTGCATGGGTCAATCCACAGCAAAACACAAACATATATCACACAGATTGCTCCTGGGGATCCTGACGTGCATGAATTCTGAGCCTAGAAGAGCTCGGGCCACATGGTTGCCTAATAGATGTGGCTCTGCTGGATTCTCACAGTTCCTTGGGAGTTGGCAGTGTGGGAAAGACTGTTTGCAGATGAGGAAGCTGAAGTTCTGAGGGTTACTTAGTTAGATCAGCATTACTCAATTCATCAATGACATGCCAGGGACTCCTAGCCCCCTTCCCTTTTTGGGGGGGTTCCAGGTGTTTGAACCCAGGGGCTCATGCATGCTAGGCAAGTACCCTACCACTGAATAACATCTACAGCCCTTTTCATTTTATTTTGAGAAAGGGTCTTGCTAAGTTGCTCAGTCTGGACTCCAACTTGCCATCCTCCTATCTCAGCCTCCTGGGTAGCTGGGATTGCAGGTGTCTACTATTGCACCTGACTCTAGCTTTTCATTCTGAGGTATTCTCCATGCATGGCCTAGGGTATAGGTTTGTTTAAAGTGGCAATGCCTAAAAAATAGGATTTAAAAGACTGTAAACCTTAGTATAAGTTTATTGGAGAAAAGGAGGTTATTTGTGTGTGGCCCCTGACAGACCAACTCTTCCCTTCCTATGTAAGTGGTGGGGCCTCCAGAAGAGGGGGAGAATCAGAGATTAAGCCTCAGGTTGCCTATTGCCAGGTGATCTACATGAGTTTACTTCTGGGCCTCCCAGGCCTGGAGGGTAGAAACAGGTGCCCCAGAGGGACATGAGGTGGTGTTTTCCACCCTCGTCAGGGCCTCACAAGGCCACTGGCTCACCGCAACTGCAGAGCAAGTGGAAACTTTGGATTTCAGTTTCTCAAACAGTAAAATTGGATCTGAGTGCTTAAGTCCCGCCAGCCTCTTTTGGGCATGAAGCCCAGATCCTGGCTACCTCATCCAGAAAGCCCTTGGGGAGAGAACACAACCAGCAGTTAATTGAGCCTGAGGACCTACACATGCTTGTCTGAGCCCCCTGCATTGCCCAGGCACCATTTGTTCTCCCTAGCTTAAACCTCAACTCAGTTTCAGAGTTGGGTGACCTTAGTTCCCATCTGTATTTTTTTTTTTTAATATTTATTTTCTTTTTAGTTGTAGATGGACACAAACCTTTATTTCACTTACGTATTTTTATTTGGTGCTGAGGATCGAACCCAGGGTCTTACACATGAGAGGCAAGCGCTCTACCACTGAGCCACAACCTCAGCCCCTCCCATCTGTATTTGATTCACTTGTGCTAAGGTCATTAAACATTTATTAGGCACTTACCATATTACTGATTGGAACCTGAGGGGTCTCCAAGTCTTGTGAGAGAGACCAACACAAGGATACAAACAAGGCTTTATCATTGATCAGCTGAGAGAGAGGGAAGTCCAAGAGCTACGTGGGTGTCTAGATGAGACCACAACAGAAACTGAAGTTCAAGGAGAACAATATCTGAGTTGAATCTGAAACCAAATTAGGTAGTTGAATGAGAAAAGGTGAGAAGTCATCCTTATTAGAGGGAAATGGCATGGAGACTTGAAATCAGTGTGCTAATGGCTTATTCTCTTGACATTGGCCAAGAGGATGGATAGAAGAGCATATTTAGAAGATCAAATCATGAGACCTAGTGGCTGACGTGACAAGCAAGACAAGTGTGTGAAGACAAGGGTGCCAACCTAAATTCTTTGTTTGTGTGTGTGTTGATGGCATTCTTAGAGAAAGACATTTGTTGGGAGAGGAACAGGTGTGTTGCATGGTGAAATGCTGCAGTCACTCCAAGTTAATGGAGTTTGAGACACTTTGACTTCTAAAAGGGAGTAGGACCATTCAGGTGTGAAGCCCCATGAGATAGAAGTATAGGATGAAAGGGGGTTAAGAGGAATGATCCAGGAGAGAAGGGGAGAAGGAGACCCTACCACTTCCTCAGTTCTGCTCCCTCTTGGACTGGGCACTTCCATTTAACCCAGCATTTATTTTTTGGTTCCTGACACATGCTAGACCCTGCTGGTCTAGCAAAATTAATGAGTTCTTGCTCACAGGTAGCTCACATTTGGAGTGCAGGTAGAAAAGGCCAAGAGAAATGATAATGAGAGGCACAAGCAAGGTCCACAGTGAATTCAGGAAGAAAGGCTTCTTTTTGAGACTAGGAGGGGGTTTCTGAAGTGGGTGGCTTTTGAGCTAGGTTTTGAAGGGTTGGGAAGAATCTGGGGGATGGGGGCGGGTAATGAGTACATTCTGCAGAGAACACTGGTCATTCTCTGAACCTGGTTTCCCAGGTCTGTGTGGTAGAGAGATAATAATACTCATCTTAAGGATTAGAGGTGGTAGCACAGGTGAATACCTCTCCCAGGGCCTGGTACACAGTAGATGCTCGATAACAGTTACTTTGGTTACCTCTCATTCCTACCCTTCCTTTTCCTCTTTTTCTCCCTAACCCCTCTTTATTTCCAGCCTGGGACTTGGCCATATTCCCACCCTATGACTAGGGGAGAAATCAATTGGGTTTTAAGTGAGACCATTATACACTTATTAATTAGCAAAGTCTACCTTTGCTACCTGTGAAGGGAAGTTGGGAGTCAGAGAAAATTTTCTCTAGCAAGGTAGGAGACCAGAGTGAGAAAAGGCATCATCACTGGGAGCTGAATCTAAGGGCTGAATTTTTAGAATACAAAAGACTATGGAGGCCCTGCGCGGTGACGCACGCCTGTAATCCCAGTAGTTTGGGAGGCTGAGGCAGGAGGATCACGAGTTCAAAGCCAACCTCAGCAAAGGCGAGGGGTTAAGCAACTCAGGGAGACCCTGTCTCTAAATAAAATACAGAAGAGGGGTGGGGGTGTGGCTGTGATCGAGTGCCCTTGAGTTCAATCCCCAGTAATAAACCAACCAGCAAACAAAAAAGACCATGGACTTTGTGGAGAAGTGGGACCTTTCCAGGAGCTCGCTGCTGCCTGGGGGCCCATTTCTAAACTTAGGGAGCAGGGGGACTGGGGACCAAATCCAGACCAGGGAGTTCCTGGGCAGTTGACCGGGTTGGACTCTCTAGGTGCGCGTCTACAGCCCGTACCAGGACTACTACGAGGTGGTGCCCCCCAACGCGCATGAGGCCACGTATGTCCGCAGCTACTACGGGCCGCCCTACGCAGGTAAGCTTTCCCTCACCCTTTAAGCCCAGCCCCTTCACGGTCCCCCTAACCGCAGCCTGACTCTCAGTCCAATGCCAGGTCCTGTCCACGAGTCATTGGCAGTCAGGACCAGCCTCACCCTTTTAGTGTTTACCTATTTTCTCAGGCAGGAACTCCGCAAACTCCTAGCAGCTTGAGAGCTAAAAATAGTGCTCGATGCTCCAGAGAAGCCTCCAGGCTCGCACTTACTCAGTTTGGTTTCCCAGCAATCTTTCCTGAGCTCGTAGCGACGCCTGGTGGCTAACTTGGGAACCGCAGTCGCCCACAGGTGCAGTGTGGTGTGTTTAGAGGTCCGCCCATCCCAGGCCCCAAAGTTACCGAACGTCCGTGGCAGACCCGGGAGGGAAGTGCTAGTGTGGATCCCTTACCTCGTCAAGGCCTCAGTTTCTCCGACTGGGGAGTATGGATTCAGTGCCTTAATATATTGGGTTGGGCTGGAGTCACGCAGAAAGGGAATGAAGATGACTGGCTTCTCCTAAGTCGCTGATACTCACGGCTGTCTCCGCAGGCCCCGGCGTGACGCACGTAATAGTGCGGGAGGATCCCTGCTACAGTGCTGGCGCCCCGCTGGCCATGGGCATGCTTGCCGGAGCCGCCACCGGCGCTGCACTGGGCTCACTTATGTGGTCGCCCTGCTGGTTCTGAGTCATGGGACTGGATCGCTGGACCCTGCGCTTAGACCGCTAAACCCCTTTTCCTCCTGGACCCCACCCTCTACCCTCCAAGCCAAATGAGCCCTTTCCTCTCCTTTAGCCCTTTTTGGGCTTGGACCATCCCTCCCACTCCTTACCCTCACCCCACGCCCACCCATCGGAAGAAGTTAACATCTTCAGCACAAACGTGGTTCTACTGCTAGACATCCCAGAAATCCCTTATAGACACCTATATTTCATCTAACTACACGAAGACAGTAAATATAACTTTCATTTGGCTTCAAGTTCTTCAGGTGCTGGAAAGAGAACGCGTGTTGCACGCTCTGCTGTCTTTAGGGGCAGCTCCAGGCCTAGTGGGAAAACAGGAGTAAACAAACACTTTGTGCTAAAACTGCAGTTGTGTCTTTTGACAAGTGTAGGGGCAGGGAGCAAAGCGGGTGGATTGGGAGTGCTGTTGTTGACTAGTTTAGAGCCCTGAATGTCATGGCATGTCCGAAGGGGAGATCAGTTGGGCTGGGTCAGATCATGATGGGCCTCCAGGCTGTTGCTAGGTAAATGAGAGATGTGACCTTTTTATGGAGTGAAGTTTCAGGATTGCACCTATGATGAATATTTTGCCTGTATTGTTAGTACTGACATATCCTTACCCCAAATACTCTTGAGTTCAGCTCCATCCTTCCTAGTACCATCTTCCTGGGTTCCCTGTTCCCCATGACAACAATTGAACTGAACCTGGGGGCTCCCGGTTGGGGGCCAGGTGAGCTCTGTTTGGGAGCTCCAGCCTTAGAAAGTTGCCTCCATTAGGAAATGCCTTTCTGATCCCAGGAGCTCTGTCCATTGCTGTGATTGTCCCCATCTCAGGCTTTGTCTGATCTTTCATTCTGGGGAGATAGCAGTGTTTCCCTCTGGGACTGACACACCTTTATACCATTCTGGGAAGCTCCCCATGTGCCTGCCTGAAGGTGGCCCAGCAGTCTGCCCATTTGGTCCCTTCCAGTCTCTTCCTCCACCCAATCCCAATTGCCAGTAGAAATGCTAGCTAACATCCATGCCCAGTAGCCAGAGTAGCTCACTAATGTCCCCTGTAGACAGGGGCTCCATTGGCTCAGCTGCAGAGACTAATAAAGATGTGGTTGGCTCTAGAACTGGCTCTGGCTTGTTTTGCTTTGTTCTCCCAGGAGGCCCGGTTTCCCTGGGACATCTCTGTGGCCCAGCATCTACCAGTGCCTTCTCTTAATAAATGAGAAGAGTTTGGATTCTGGGGTCAGGTGGAACTGGTGACATTATCTTAGCTAAACAATTTGGGGCAAGTCACTTGACCTTTCTGAACATTGCTTCCCCTACCCACAAGTGGTAGGTTGAAGTTGGCCATCCCCGAGGGCTCAAGAGGAGGGGCTGTGCCAGGGTCTCTGTTATCTGAGCTGATGCATGATCCACAGCAGGCCCTGCCTGCTAGTCTGAGAGACCTGTGCTGTTTTGTCTTTTCCAGTGGGAACCTTCCTTCTAGAGTTGAATCTTTTTTTTTTTTTTCTTCCTGATACTAGGGACTGAACCCAGAGCTACATCCCCAGCCCTTTATTTTTTCAGACAGGGTCTCACTAAGTTACCCAGACTGGCCTCAAACTTGTCATCTCCTGTCTCAGCCTCCCAAGTAGCTGGGATTACAAGCATGTGTCATCATGCCTTGCTAATGAATTGTTTTTTATAGAAATGAGTTGACCAGGGAAGAAAACAACCATCATATATCAGGCTTCTTAAAGTGGAAGTGACAGAAACCTCCTGTTCAAACTGATTCAAGTCAAAGAATGAAAAACATGGGGACACAACAGAGAAGTCAAATACCAGGGGCTCAAATAGTGTCACTTCAACTTTGCATGCATGCTGTGTCAGAATCTGGATTTAAATGCAGGTCACTTGACCTTATCCCACCACACTACATTGTTTTTGCACTACAAAGTCTCTGAGGAGACCAGGGCCACTACCAAACATCTTTTCCTTTAGCAAATCGCTAGAAGCTGAGAACTAGAAGATGAATGAGACTTAAGCCTTACACTCAAGGAACTATGTCTGTGTCAGACATGAGCTGTGGCTATGAAACAAGGTATCATTGGGGCTGTGGCAAATGGTAGCCCTTAGGTTGTAGGACACAAAGAGGTAGAAGGTTGAGGAAGTAATTGTCTTAAATTGGATTAAATGAAAAATGCTTTCCCAACTATGGTCTGATGAGAATTGTTAGAAGAAGAGGAAACACACCAAAGCAACACTCAATCAGTCAATGCTGGGATTTCACTGGATGCAGCCACATGTGCAGTGTGATTTGACTGTAGAGGGAACTAAGGGTAGAGAAAGAGGTCAGCAGATCAGACTATCAGGGGTCTTCAATGCTGGGGAAGGAGCTTGAACTAGACTCCCAGGATCACAGAGAACCTCAAAATATGTGAGGCAAGGGAAGAATATGGTCACAATCGAAAGATAGAAAGATTACATAGAGAAAAACATTAATCCCCATAGACAACAATCTAAACTCAGATAAAACAATCTATGCAAACTGGACAGCCCAAGAGCTGCCTGGTTGTTCAGGTCATGATGTTCACTGGGGTAGCTCAACTAGCCCCCTCCTTGAGAGGATTTTGTAGACAGGGTTGTTCACTCTGAGCATCTGGACACTTAAGCACTTCTCCAGAACCAAGTATATGGCTCCATGTCAGAACTACTGAGAACACTTGCTGGAAAGGACACTAAATGCCTCTTTGGCTTGCTAGGACTGTTCTACTGCTTTATGCCACCCATAGGAACCTTTCTTTCCCTTTCCCTTATGGGGTAGTACAGATGTCCTTCCTCAGCTGAACCTGAAACCTGCCTCCAGAGAACTGCTAAGAGTTGGGTTTTAGCTTCATTTCTGGGCCTCAGACCAAAATGATTCCCAGACCTAGAACTTTTTTTTGATTGTTGATGGACCTTTATTGTATTTATTTATAGTATTTATATTTATTCGGTGCTGAGAATCAAACCCAGTGCCTCACAAATGCTAGGCAAATGCTCTACCCCTGAGCCACAACCCCAGCTATTCCAGACCTAGAATTTATCCACTGGCCAGTTGTTTTTCCCCCAACACCTTAGTCTGCTTGGATTTACTCTTCATCACTTGTCAAGATTTCTTTAAGTATTGTCTATTCTCTCCACCTGGGTACCAAGAGGGGATCAGTGTGGACTAGCTTTCCCTTGCTGCTCTAGCTTTTCATTGTCCATGTCATTGCCAACCCCATCATGAAGACATGCATCCATCAGAGTTTACTGAACTTGTTGGGTAACCAAAGGGAAAACAAGAAAATGAAAAAGTAAAAACTATATTACAGTTTATCTCCTCCATAAGGAGATAGGTTTTTGATCTACCTGCAGTGTCCCTATCTCCCCACCTTATTCCCTTATCCTCTCTTCTGGCTTTTCCCAAAAACATCTCTACACTTTGGCTACAGTGTTTTCCACTCACTCCCCCTAACAGAATAGTAAAAGTGCAAAAAAGAAGTAGGGCACAGTGGTGGCGCATTCTTGTAATCACAGAGGGCTGGTAGGCCGAGGCAGGAGGATTGTTATTTCAAAGCTAGCGGCAGCAACTTAGTAAGCTCCTAAGCAACTTAGCGAGACCCTGTCTCAAAATAGAATATAAAAAGGGCTGGGGGTGGGGGGTGGGGGGGGTGGCTGGGGGGTAGAGTGCTGGCCTTGAATATGCAAGGCCCTGGGTTCGATCCTCAGCACCACATAAATGTAAAATAAAGATATTGTGTCCACCTAAAACAGAAAAATAAATATAAAAAAAAAAGGGTTGGGGGCTGGGGCTGTAGCTCAGTGACAGAGTGCTTGCCTAGCATGTTTGAGGCACTAGGTTCTATCCTTAGCACTGCATAAAAAACTAAACAAATAAAAGCATGCTGTCCATCTACAACTATTAAAAAAATAATTAAAAAAAGGGGGGCTGGGGATGTGTATAGTGCCCCTGGGTTCAATCCCCCTAAAAGTGCAAAAAGACATCACACATACAGTTTATTTCTAAACCTATTCATTAATAGAACTGCAATATGAATGTTTAATTCTTCCAGCTGTCTAGTACATGATTTTCAAATTATTCACACAGAAAAAGGCATACATTAATCCTTGAAGATAACACAATATAATCTGGAGGTGACCTATGGACCACTTCTGGCCTACATACATTTTATATGGTCATCAAAATATTTTTTTTTTTTAAAGTTCTGAATTAAGCCAGGAACACTGGAACATGCCTGTAACACAAACAACTTGGAAGGTTGAGATAGGAGGATCAAAAATTCAAGGACAGCCTCAGCAATTTAGTGAGACCCTGTCACAACATTAAAAAAAAGACTGAGGATGTGGCTCAGTGATAAAACACCCTATGCAACCTAGTCTAGAAGAATGGATTTATTGCAATAGTCACAAAATAGAATATTTAAAAATGAGAATATATATGCACCAAATTATGGATAAATCTCAAAAAATGGCAGAGAAGACAGGGAGGAGGGTAGGAAGATAGAATTATACTCTGTTAAATTACCTGTACCTTATGTAAAATAGTATAATACTAAAGTATCTGCTGATAAGTCAAAGATGCACACTGGAATTTTTTTTTTTTTGGTGGGGGCAGGTACCAGGGATTGAACTCAGGGGCACTTGACCACTGAGCCACATCCCTAGCCCTATTTTGTACTTATTAGAGACAGGGTCTCACTGAGTTGCTTAGCACCTTGCTAAACTGCTGAGGCTGGCTTTGAACTTGCAATCCTCCTGCCTCCAGCTTGAGTTGCAGGGATTACAGGCGTGTGCCACCATGCCTGTCCACCCTGGGATTCTTAAGAGGAACCACTGAAAATATAATTAAAGAGATTAATCTAAAAACAAAACCAGGCCCTAAGCAACTTAGTGAGACTGTTTCAAAACAAACAAATAAAAAAGGCTGGGAATGTGGTTCAGTGGTTAAGTACCCCTGGATTCAATACCTGGAACCAATACCAAAAATACTTGAAAGTGCCCCTGGATTCAATCCCAGTACAAAATAAATAAATAAAATACAATAATAAGCTAAAACTAGAAGAGCCCAGGCATAGTAGCACATGCCCACAGTCTCAGCTACTTGGGAGGCTGAGGTAAGAAGACTGCTTGGGTTTGGGGTTAGTATTGGCAACATATTAAGACCCTATCTTTAAAACAAAACAGTAGAAGGATGGAAAAGATATACCATGCAAACAGTAAGCATAAGAAAGCTGGAACAGCTATTTTAGCATCAGACAAAACCAAACTTCAAGACAATTACTAGAAATAAACTTGGACATTTATAAAGACAAATGGCCAATGTATCAGGAAGACTAAAGCAATATTAGAAGTTTTACAGTTGTAAATGAATATATTAAAAAAGAAAGATCTCTGGGGCTGGGGCTGTAGCTCAGCAGTAGAGCACTTGCCTAGCACGTGGGAGGTGCTGGGTTCCATCCTCAGCACCACATAAAAATAAATAATTAAAATAAAGGTATTGTGTCTGACAACAATTGAAAAAAAAAAAAAAAAGAAAGAAAGACCTCAGGCTACAATATAGCTCAATGTTGAGTATAAATGCAGGAGGCCCTGGGTTTACTCCCTAGTACCCCCTACTGATACAAATCTCAAATCAATAACTGTAATTGTATGTCCCAAGGAAAAAACAAAAAACTAAATCCAAAGCTCCCAGAATGAAGGAAATCAAAGATTAGGTCGGAGATATATGTAACAAAGAAAAAAAAAAAGTAAAGATGGGAGGGAAGGAGAGAGAAACAAATGCAGGACATGATGGCACATACCTGTAATCAACTATTTGAGAGGCTAAGGAGGATCTCAAGTATGAGGTCAGCCCAGGTAACTCAGAGAGACCCTGACTCAAAATAAAAATAAAAAGGGCTGGGGATGTAGCCCAGTGGTACAGTGCTGAGTTCAATTCCTGGTCCTCTCCTCCCTCTCCAAAACTAAAATTCCCCTTGGTGTATAAGCTACTAATCTGAAGAGGTATACAAGGTAAGGGTCAAAGATGGACTCTCAAGTTGAGGATGTGAAGCTTTGGAGTGAAGAGTTCTAAGACCCCTAAGATTCCATGTAATCACTCCCAGTGTTATCCCCATGGGACACATCTTATTCCAGGGCTTTACTTTTATTTTCATCAATTCCTCACTTGACAGCAGCACTACCTTACTATTACTCCTGGGGACACTTGCAGTATTCTAATCTGTGGCCTTTATTTGTATAGTAAGAAGATCAGCTGTGGTTGAACCAAGGAAGGGGTTTTCCTTTTTTCTGAAAAGGGCCCGATAATAAATCCTATTGGCTTTTTGAGCTGTGAACTCTATTGCAACTATTCAATTCTAACCTTGTACTGTGAAAGTATGGCTGAGTTCCAATAATACTTAAACAGGTAGCAGAGCTGGGCACAGTAGCACTTGCTTGTCACCCAGCTACTTAGGAGGCTGAGGCAGAACATCACAAACTCAAGGTTGGCCTGGGGAACTTAGACTTTTGTCTCAAAGTAAAAATGAAAGTGGCTGAAGATGTAGCATAGTGATAAAGCACACCTGAGTTCAATCCCCAATACTGAGAAAACAAATAACAAAAAATCAACAAGTTAGATTAGGTGGTAGGGCTAAAGTTGCCAATCCCTGACCCAAAGCAAAGGTGTAGTTCAGAAGAGGCAAAAGCAGAACTTAAAAACTATTTTTCCTGGGGGTGGAGGGGTTGTGGGTCAGCAGTAGAGCGCTTGCCTAGCACCTGTGAGGCCCTGGGTTTGAGGATAAAAAAACTATTTTTCCTAATAAAGTCAGTCCTCACTAACAAAAGGACACAATTTCACCATGGTGGGAACATTTGTACTCACACAAACCTAGATGGTACAGCCTACTACAAACCTAGGCTACATAGAGTCCATGTCTATTAGCTTATTGCTCCTGGGGCCAGGATGAACAAAACAGCAGAAGATTAAATCAAGCACAAGAGTCAATCAAGAGATGCACTAAACAAGCTATGAGGCCAGCTGGCGCAGTGTGGCATACTGTTTCACAGTAACCTTTTTCTTATAAGTATGCTCTAAAAATAATGTTAAAGGTATAGTCTCACGCATGTCCCCTGAAGGCGGTGGAATTTGGGTTTCTTCTGTGTATAATGGGCTGGCTGTGAAATAAAGCTAAGAAAGAGAAAAAATGAAGAAACCACAGGATCCAGGAAGTAATTTTAGAAAGCAGGGATGGGACGGTTTTTCAATCTTAGGGGTCAAGCATCCACACTGGAAAGAGAGCACAAGAGCCTGCCTTTGCTTTATTTATATGGGGGAAGCATCAAAGGTTGTTCATGGAATGTTCTTTTGCCATGGTAGGAGGTGGGCTGTCCAGTTTCCAATGGGTTACACCCAATCAGAATCCCACTAGTAGAGCAAGGGCAGAGATCTCACATCTTGGGCAGTCTACACATGGGAATGCCAGGATCCTTCCCAAGACCCCCATGGCTCAGTACCGAGTAAAAGACCACTCAAGTAGCTTTACGGTGGCATCCCACAGTATAGTATAATAAACCAGTAACTAAGTCATTTATTATCAGGTATTATGTATTGTACATAATTGTATGTGCTGGACTTTTATATGTCCTATAAATTGTAACAATCTGGCAGGATTACTAGAGGCAGATTGGCTACCTTCCTAGTTGGCCAAACTGTGATTAAATTCATTTTTCCTTTTTATATTGTTCTTATTTCTGCTACAGGAACGCAACTGAATCCAGTCTATCAGAACTCCAGCAAGGCCTTTGGCCTAGGGTATCAGTAACAATATCAGTAGCCAAAAGGAATTTTTTTTGGCTGTTAAAATCTTATGGGACCACCACTGTACATGTGATTCATCATTGGTTGAAATGTCATTATGGGGTACATAGCTATAATCCTATTACTGACTTTACCAGAGCCATCTTCAAGTGGCAGCCACTCTCCCACTCCTCCAACAATTGAAAAGTCTTCGGACTCCCCAATGGTTTTTCACATTTTTTCTTGTTATTTTTCTGATTTCCATGTTCCTCTTATAGTTCTAAAAGCATATGCTAATTCAACACCATGGCAGGAATGGGAAACCAAGTCAACAATTGTTTTCTTTAGTGTTTTATTTATATATATTTGGCAGCAAAATTGTGTTTATTAAAAAAAAAAAGCCTAGACTATGAACACACTTCACTGCTTCAGTTAAAGAACCCCAAGCCAAACAAAAAGACCAATATTAAAAGCAGCATACTGGTTACTTTCTTAAAGATACATAAAAAGAATCAAATGCAACAGTGTAGGAAGACTTTTCAGAAATCACAACTTCTTTCAAATAAAGAATATGATCCATCTGCCATATTGAATTGATATTTATTTTAGGACATGCCATGTCAAAATAAAACAAAAAGAGTCAATCCTTGCTTTTAACAATAATATTGTATTATAAAAGCACTTTACAACTCCATCTCATCTTTGAGTATAAGTTACAGGTATGTGGGCTAATGATTACCTGAAAACATTTCTCTATTCAGATCCATAATCCAAGTGCTCTCTGAATATTACAAGGTGACAATAAGTGAAAAGTGAAGGAGGAAGAGGAATAGAGGGGAGCAAGGTTTTCTGAGTTAAGGGTTTTGTAGCAATGAGAAGACGATGAAGTATGAAGTTATTTTTGTTGTCTTTTCATCTTTATACTGTGTTAAGTAATGCTTACAACATAAATTCAGCAGGCTTTTCCTGAGCTTTAACTCAGAAATTTTCTCCCTGCAAACAATGTATTTACATATGTGTTTATTAACTTACACAGCAATCTCACAATAACTAGTAAAGATTAAAAGGGTGCACTCCTAGTATATTTGTTTGCAGTGTTTTAAGGGAAATGCATATTGCCATGGTGATGAAGCTCTAAAAAGATTCACCAAAACATCTAAAAATTCAAAGTTAAAAAAAAAAAAAAAGGCAAAGAAATAAATATCACCAAAGAAAAAGATTAATTGTAGCTTAAATATAAAACTAAATCACTAGTTAATTAACCAAACTATACAGATCTAATAAAAAGCAAAACCAGCTTGAAAGACCCAACATTTAAAAAAATGCTAAAAAATAAGGCATAAATCTGCATAATATTGACTTTTATTTCCATTCTCTCCTTTCCCTTTTCAATGTTCTTATCTGCCTCTAGGGGCTTACAAGAAAATTATTTCCATTTTAATTTTGACTTCAAATGTTCAGAGTAGGATATTTGCTATTCTGTGAGGGTTCTTTTATGGGTAAGCTTTAGATATCATTATTTCTATTTGTTATAGTTTTGATCAAGTCATCAAATTTAAATTCTTCCACTGTTTCTTAAAGGAATTTGATTTTCACAATGCCTTGCCTGCATAGCATTTTTTAAAAGAAAGAAAATACAAGCAAAATCTATTGCTCAAAAGGGTGAGGTGGAGTTTTTTGTTTTAAAACAAACAATAGCTATCTCAACAATTTTAAAAACCTTGGGAGAAAGAGTTAATTGGAACTGATTTTATCATGAATAATTAAATATTAAAAACTTGTTCTGAAGCATTTGGTTATTTTTTTTCTCCCAGAGTCTAATAAAGTACATGTGAAAGGGTCATTTGTCTTGGTCAAAAATAAATTTTATGCTCATCTACTTGTAAGTACTCAGTATGTTCATTAGGACTCATTTTGAGGACACACCAGAACCCTTTCCTCATTTAAGCATTGCCCACCATGATGGCTAAGTTTTGATCTCAAAGAAGGTCTAAGTAATTTATATCAGTGCTCAAGAATAATTTTGGACATCTTGGCCTAGAGCAAGTGGCTATCTATAAAACTGAAAGATAATTCCAATGGGTTTGCTGCATTGCCACCTCCTGTTTGCTTTGTGGGAGGGTGAGAATAGGGAATGCAGATAAGAGAGAGGTGAGAAAAGCAGGGAAAGATCAAGTAGGTAGGTAAATGCTGCTGAGAACATACTGCTCCTTAACCAAGCCATGCTCATATTGTTGAGATTTCCATCATTTTAAAGTACATTATCATAACATTAAAAAAAGAAAAATGTTAAGAAAATGTATCTGATCTTTAAGGTTATCACTGGAATATGCTGGAATCTTTTGGCTTTTTGTAAAATATAAATAATGAAGACACTGACTTTTTTGTGCTTGTGAAGCTAATAGATTATCTCCACGAGACAGGCAGCAATGATGAATTGCAATACGTTATTACTGAAGGGAAAAGGTTCAAGCCAATATTCACACTGCAGTCAATGAAAGAGTACGGGAGCCAAAGCAGTGAGCTTCTGGAGAAGGGTTGAAGATGCCATGAGGGATTAGCAGGAACAGCCTCCTTCACTAACTGGTTGCTCCTGAGGCTTTTCCAGTTTAATGTCAATCACTGAAACAAAATTTAAGGAGCCATAAACAGAAAAGCACAGTTCTAATTCTTGTTTACTCTGACATCTTTGGCAAGCCCCTTATAGCCTTATTTGACTTCAGAGCCTACATAGTTGCTATATTCTATATAGCTACCCCACCATACACAGTAATCATATGGAAAAAACTTGCTTCTGTCTATTACATGCAACAAGAGTCAGAATGAAATACAAGTTCGATTCACGGTAATCTACCCTAAGGATAATATTCTACAGGAGTAAGAAAATACAAAGATGATATTCCCTATAGAATCATCTATAATAAACATTTGACAATAGTATACAAGAGTTCACATAACGGGAAATTTAATAAGTAATGCCACTTCAACTCAGTAGAATACATTATACCATGAAAATAAAGGTGGCTTGAAAAAACATGAAATATTTAGATGGGAAGGGTTGAACACAAAATTTTATGAACTCTATGGTTTAATAAAAATGTCTACATATGGAAAAATATTAAAGGTAAATATAAAACATAAAACAATGAAACATTAAAATTCAAAATCCTTGGGGGTAGGGCTGTAGCTTAGTGGTAGAGTGCTTGCCTAGTACGTGTGAGGCACTGGGTTTGATCCTTAGCACTACATAAAAATAAAATAAAGGCATTCTGTCCATCTACAGCTACAGAAAAAATTTTTAAAAAAATCAAAAATCCTTGGAAATAACTGATTATTAGACGTGCTTCATTATGTTTTGTAAAGTCTATGATAAAATTGTATTTTGAGTTATTTATTGCCTATGCTAGAACAGAGCTTGAATCTTAGAAAAGGTAGGAAAAGAAAATGATACCTTATGGGGAAAAAGTCCTGAGCCAATGGGACTCAAAAGAAGCAGGAGATTGGGATTCTAAAAGTTTCCTACCTATTAAAAAGCAAATAAAAAATCTACACTCTCACTGAATAATTATAGTGAGCAGCCATTGCAAATGATACTTTATATAGTAGACCTCATTTGTGTAGAAGACCTCTTGAGTTTTTGTCTATCTGAGTCATCAATCCCTAGCTGTAAAAGGAAATGGCACAATATTCCTTAGTCAGCAAAGGAAAAATCTGAAGACTAGTATCAACAATAAAAATTTCGGAGAGAAAAAAAAAAGGATACTGTCTTCTCTGCTTCTGTCCTGTGTGCTTTCCATTCCAGGTAAAGCCGCTGCTACACGTCGGAAGAGCTGTAGGAGAGAGGTGGTAGTAAGATGGATGACCAGGGGGGTAATGAGTGAAAGGCTGTGGCTTTTGGGTTATTCCTCACTTAGACTTAAGCATCATTAAGGCATATTAAAGTGTCTATTCATCCTATAAATGAATATCATATGAAAAACACGCTAAACTACCAACCACAAACAAAGACACAATTTCTGTTTTCCAACAGGTGAGACAAAACAAGAACAAATAGCTGTGCAACAGGCAGCAAAAATATCATTTGAGTCATAGAAATATGGTACTACAGTAATCATATGGAAAAAACTTAGAAATATGGTACTACAGAAACAGTATAGTGAAATTTCTCATTCATCTCAGTAAGACAATATAGTGGAATTTTTCTCTTTCATAAAGGGTTAGGTTCTAAAGACAGTGTATTATACGTAGTGAAAGTGAAGTTAGTCAAAATTAGCTTTGATAATTACTTAGAAAAGTACTATTTTAGAGATCAACATAAGACTTCTCAAATCCAACACAGCTGGCCTTTCTTAGATCATGTGAATAAGCCCAGAGGAAGTGGCTGGGTTGTGTTTGAGGTAAAGCATTACAAAACGTTATCTTCAATAGGAAAACACCCAATCCTGGTGAGATGTTTGAGAAGTACCTGGGAACAGATACTGACTAAAGGAACAACAGATTCATAACTCTTATGTTGTACTCAATCTTAGGCATACACTTTGAACAAGCAGAATGTCATAAGAAACCACCTAATCATTTCAATTATTTCTCTTTTAGTTAGGCATGTAGTATAGAATTTCTATAGGATGTAACTCCCTTGTACCATGTGCCTGCTAACTTAAGGCACTGAAACTCTTTAAGGGATATAATTTTTTCTTTTTTGGTAGTACAGGGATTGAACACATGCTAGGCAAGCACTGTACCACCGAGCTACATTCTCAGTTTTTTTTTTTTTTTTTTTTTTTTAATATTTATCTAAGTGGCTCAGGCTAGTCTCAAGCTTGTGATTCTTCTGCCTAAGCCTCCCAAGTAGCTGGATTGCAGATATGTGCCACAGTGCCCAGCTCAAGAAATTTTTTTAATTCATCAGTTTGCAATGTGGCAAAGCACAGATTCAAACAATTCCTTATGTCACAATGTGATAAGTCACTACAAACAGAAGAAGTAGGAAATGATATGAAAATATATATTTAAGAAGGCCCTCCTCAGCTGGGCATGGTGGCACAAGCCTATAATCCCAATGACTTGGGGGGCTGAGGCAGAAGGATGGAGAGTTCAAGGCCAGTCTTAGCAACTTACTGATGCCCTAAGCAATTTAGTGAGACCTGTCTCAAAATAAAAATAAAAAGGGCTAGGGATGTGGCCAAGTGCTTAAGCACCCCTGGGTTCAATCCTTAGTTTAAAAAAAACAAAGGAAGGAAGCCCTCCTTAGGAGCATGGGAATTTCTTAGGAGGTAACATCTGAGCTGGGATTTAAATGCAGTTTTAAAATTTTACCTGGCTCGTCAGGCATCATAGCGCATGCCTGTAATCCCACTGACTTGGAAGCTTGAGGCAGGAGGATCCCAAGTTTGAGGCAAGCCTCAGCAACTTAGCAAGGTCCTAAGCAACTTAGTGAGACCCTTCTCAAAATAAAAAATAAAAAAAGAGGGGCTGGGGTTGTGGCTTAGCGGTGGAGTGCTCACCTAGCATGTGCAAGGCCCTGGGTTCGATCCTCAGCACCACATAAGATGAATAAATAAAATAAAGGTATTGTGTCCAACTACAACTAAAAAAATTTAAAAAAAAATAATAAATTTAAAAAATAAAAAGAGAGTTGGGAATATGACTCAATTACAGCACCTCTAGATTAAATCCTTAGTATCCACCCCCAAAAAATATCTCTTGGCTGAAAAACTCAATGAGTTAAGTACTCCATAAATGTTGCTAAAAATGAGAAGAAACAGAATGAATGAAAAGCTAGAGATGAGGAACTGGATCTGTGTGTAAACTGTTTGCAGCAAAGAAGTATACAAAAAGAGCAAACTAGGGCTGGGGATGTGGCTCAAGCGGTAGCAGCCCGGGTTCGATCCTCAGCACCACGTACAAACAAAGATGTTGTGTCCGCCGAAAACTAAAAAATAAATATTAAAAATTCTCTCTCTCTCTCAAAAAAAAAAAAAAAATCCTATAAAAAAAAGAGCAAACTAAAGATTTTATCTATTAGACAACAGTTCAATAGGGCAGAAATAGGGAAGAAAGGAAAAGACTAATTGTTTTGGTTCCATAAGGCTTAGGGGGATTTTAGTAGGTACCAAATTAGGCATCTGCCTCAATACTTTTCCCAAACCAACTATCAGATTCCAAACTGTAGAATGCTTACCTTAACATCATTTCTGATATGCCAGAAATTGGGCAAAATCAAAGATCATGTAGTGTTATAAATTACTAACATATCAAATCAATTTAGCAATTATATAAGGTAGTGGGTCTATTTAGAGTTCCAAATATAGGTAAACATTTTAGATATAAAAATACTCTAATAAATAATGACTCTGAAAGCTGCTAATATTATAAACAAAAGTAAAAACTTACAAAAGCTAAATGAATAGATTGACACAATATAATAGATAACTTTAGGAAGATTATGCCTTTCTTAACCCAATAGGTGATAATAAAAATTTAATTAGGCCGGGCACAGTGGGGCATGCCTCTATAATCCCAGAGATTTGGGAGGCTGAGACAGGGGGATAGATAGTAAATTCAATCTGGGAAACTCTTGTCTCAAAATAAAAATTAAAAAATGGGCTAAGATGTAGCTCAGTGGTATAGTGCTCCCTGTCACTTGTTCAATCCCTAGTACCATACACACAAAAAAAATATTAAATTAAAAAATTAATTAGTACAAAATTAGATAATTCTAATGTTTTTGAAGTTATGATATATTAGCATTGAGTGAAAAGTAGAGTATCAAAAAAAAAAAAATACCAACTTTTGGCAGTTCAAAATTTCATGCATCAGGAAAACTCCAGTATCCGTTGATTTTATGATAAATAATATAGAGTGTGGTGGAAAACATATTTTATAGAAAATAAGAAGCAAAAATTAGCATTCCCCCACCAATATAAAAATAGGTAGTTAAAAAAAAGTACTGTAACTGAAAATATGGCACTATATCAAATTCTGATTATGTTTTTAGGATAAAGTTTTAGATTTATTTTTGTATTTCAGAAATTCATTCTATATACTAATATTCAATTTTGGCCATCTATCCAAAATGTATACTGGGAACATTTCTGATTTCAGGAGAGATGAGAATGAATGAAAAGAGGTGGCATGTTATGGGGCTGGGTTGTGGCTCAGTGGTAGAGCACTTGCCTCCCCTGTGTGAGGCTGAGGGTTCAATCCTCAGCACCACATAAGAATAAATAAATAAATAAATAAAAAGATGTTGAGTCTATCTACAACTAAAAAATTATTAAAAAAAAAAAAAAAAAAGAGGTGGCATGTTATAAAAAATTCAACATACAGGGAACCATCAAAAATAATGCAGTGAGGCTGGGTGCAGTGGTGCAGGCCTGTAATCTCAGGGGCTCGGGAGGCTGAGACAGGAGGATTGCAAGTTCAAACCCAGCCTCAGCAAAAGCGAGATGCTAAGCAACTCAGACCCTGTCTCTAAATAAAATACAAAATAAGGCTGGGGATGTGGCTCAGTGGTTGAGTGCCTCTGATTTCAATCCCTGGTCGCCCCTGCCTACCCCTCAAAATAATGCAATCGGGTATGGTGGTACATGCCTGTAATCCCAGTGGTTTGAGAGGCTAAGTAACGCAGGAGGATCGTGAGTTCAAAGCCCGTTTCAACAATTTATTGAGGCCCTAAGCAACTCAAGGAGACCCTGTCTCTAAATTTTATATATTTATTTATTTAAAAAAAGGGGGGGGGGAGGCCTAGGGATATGGCTCAGTGGTTAAGTCCCCTAGTTCAATCCCCAGTACGAAAAAAATAAAAGGGGAGGGGGAAAAAAAGGCAATGTATTTCTTAGTTAATTTGACAAATTAACAAGTAATTTGTTAATTTTTCTCTTGACAGAAATAAATTTTACATGATTAATCATTACTAGTTGCAAGGGAAAAGATTTTAACCTATTACTTAAATGTGCTTTTTTTCAGTAATTGGGATTGAACCCAGAGGCACTCTACCATTGAACTACTTCCCCATCCCTTTGTTTTTTTATTTTGAGATAAGGTCTCCCTAAATTGCTGAGGTCAGTCTCAAACTTATGATCCTCCTGCCTCAGCCTCCTGAGGTCATGGGATTACAGATGGATGCTGCCACAGCCAGCTTAAATGTCTATTATTAAGATTTTAGTTTCTTTTTTATATCATCCTCTCATTTGGGGGTTCCAGGATTTTTCCACCTTGACTGAATTATATAAGTTAACAAAGCATGGTCTCCAAATACTGAAATAAAATCCTATCCCTATAAAGTGAAAACAGGTAATGGTTTTTGTGAGTTAAGATGGAAGCTGGGCTGGAGTGTGGCTCAGTGGTAGAGCTCTTGCCTAGCATGTATGACGCCCTGGGTTTGATTCTCAGCACCACATAAAAATGAAATAAAGATATTGTGTCCAACTACAACTAAAAAATAAATATTAAAAAAAGATGGAAGCTAAAATAAGTAAATAAATAAATAAAGGTAGATTTGTTCCAAAAATTTAGAAGTAATTTTCATTATATGTATATTTAAAAGAATGGTAATATCAAGTCCCAATAGAATCAGGAACTTCAGCAAAACCAGATGTTCACACATACCATATAAATAAGAAGAACAAAGTAGTAAATGGTTTTGAATTCAGGACAATACTTCTATAAAATAAATCTCTCTGCATTATCACAATATAGTTATATCTGTCTATATTGGTCAGGCTTTCAGAAAAAAATCATGTGCTTGGTGATGAAAATATTCTAAAGTTAGATTGTGGCAATAGTTGTACAATGCCATAGATTTACTAAAATAATCGACCTGTACATTTAAACTAAACAAAATTTATGGCATATAAACAGTATATAAAGAATATGTCACATATAATTATATAAATCATATGATATCTCTTTTTGAAATGCTTGCTACTGGATTTCAGATTTTGGAATATTTGTATATATAGATATATAATAAGGCATCTTGGGTATGGGGCTCAAGTTAAATCTAAAATTCATTCGTGTTTCCTATACACACAGACTGAAGGTAATTTATTGCAATAATCTGAATGTACCTGTAAGGTCAGGTGTAGAATTTTCCACTTAGGAAATCTGGTAGGTGATCAAAACACTTCAGGTTTTGGAGCACTTTGGATTAGGATATACAACTTATACTTAAATAAAGCTGTTAATTTGGGAGTGATTAAACATCATGAAGATCCTAGTTATCAGTAGTGTTCTATATTTGCTGATGATCCTAGAACTTCAAAACATTAACCCAAAAAAAGATATTCTGTAGCATGACATAAAAGCTACTAGTTCAAAACCTTATCAAAATGTTTTTAATAGAGAAATTCAGATGAAGTTACCTACTGCTTTTTCCTGGAACACTGGCTCATTATAATATTGTAGTAACTTCTATTACTCAAAAATAAATTGCCCGTGACTTCTACAGGTTCAACTAGTTATCATTTGCTATACTTCCACACACATTGCTAAGTTCTGGGACTGTGTAATTCTGAAGGGGATGGGGAGAGATAAAGAAAGAGACTGATTTTCAATACATTGTGGTAAGATTCCATAATAGTGATTTCACAGGAGCAAGGGGTCTGTGAAAACACAAATTATTAGCCTAGCCAGGAGGTAGGGTAGGAAATGTCAGAGGAGATGTACCTGACATCTTAATAGTACAAGACAAGGAGGGAATGGAAAATACTGTGCAAAAATGAAAACAATATAGAGATTTTTTTCCCCATGAGGCTCATCCTAATTGAAAGGATTTTACTTTATCACTTGTAGTTAAAAAAAAAACTTTGTAATGTGAGATTTCTATATTTTCTTGCTCTCTTCCATTGAAACATTCCTGTTGTTAACACTGTTTAAACACCAGCAGTTATTAAGAATAAATTCACCAAAATGTACTTTTACCACATGCAAAACTGACAATGAATAATTACTTTCATTTATCACAATCTTGCCACCTCTGAAACTAGGAAAGCTTACTTTCAGGTAGGAATATAGTAAGAGTATGGTAAGTTTACAACTTTGCAATAAAAAAAAAAGTGTTGTCCTGTGTATAATCTAAAAAGTTTGTATTTTCCCATTTCCCATGCTTCATTTTTACTTTTTTCACTATCTGAAATGTTGCTAATTCATGAGGCCTTGTTACTAACTGGATGAAAACTGTACACTACAGAATAGAACACTCATGCAATTACATGTTTTTCAATACTCAATGGACATGTACCTGCTTTACATTGTATCCTGCTTTTGCACTGGTTTCAATGAACATAACATTCAGTTCTTTGGCTTTCCTCTCTCCTTCCTCAATTGAAACTTGCCTGTAGAAAAAAGATAAATTCTTACTTTTGAAATATGACATTATTAAGATTATAAACAGAGTTTTGAAAATAACTTTTCTACATATAGATGGTGGTTATACAGGCAATATTAATCTAAAAATTTGTGGGCTGGGTGCATTGGCTCATTCCTATAATCCCAGGGACTCTAGAGGCAGAGTCAAGAGGATCAAAGTTTGAGATGAGCCTCAGTAACTTAAGTAAAACCCTAAGCAACTCAGCAAGACCCTGTCTCAAAAAAGGACTGGGAATGTAGCTTAGTGGTAAAGCATTCCTAGGCTCAATCCCAATACCAAAAACTAAAGGGGGGAAAATATCCACTACACTTAAACTTTGTACATTTGTGTGTGTATGTGTTATATTTAACTTTTTTTTTTGGTAGTGAGGATTGAATTCAGCACTCAACCACTGAGCCACATCCCCAGCCCAATTTTGTATTTTATTTAGAGACAGGGTCTCACTGAATTGCTTAGTGCCTTGTTAGATTGCTGAGGGTGGCTTTGAACTCTCATTCTCCTGCCTCAGCCTCCAGAACAGATGGGATTACAGTTGTGTACCCTGTTTAATCAATAAAAAGGTATAAACACACACTTATTTTCTTTTTTGTACTGGAAATTTAACCCCAGAACAATTTATCTCTCAGCTACAATCCCCAACCTCTTTTAAATTTTATTTATTTATTTATTTTTAAAACTATTCTTGTAAAATATTTTTTAGTTGTAGATGGACACAATTTATTTACTTTTATGTGGTGCTGAAGATCAAACCCAGTGCCTCACATGTTCGAGGCAGGTGCTCTACCACTGAGTTACAGCCCCAACCCCTTATTTATTTATTTTTAAAAGGGAACATCATGCTTCAAACATTCTTTATTTTATTTGTTTTTATGTGGTGCTGAAGATCATACCCAGTGCCTCACACATGCTAGGCAAGTGCTCCACCACTGAGCTACAACCCCAGCCATTAAATTTTATTTTGAGATAGGGGTCTTGCTAAATTCACAGGCTGGCCTTGAACTTGCATTCCTCCTGCCTTAGCCTCCCCAGTAGCTGGGATTATATGGATCTGTGACCACACCCGGCTTAAAAGATGTTTTTTTTTTTTTACAGATTTGCTTTTACTTGTCTGGTAACATTTTTCTTTTGTTTTGGTGGTACTGGGAATGAACCCAGAGATGCTCTACCACTGAGCTATATCCCCAGACATTAAAAAATATATATATTTTTAAACTATTTTAAAAATAATACAAACTTGGGGCTGGGGTTGTGGCTTAGCGGTAGAGCTCTCGCCTAGCATGTGTGAGGCCCTGGGTTCCATCCTCAGCACCACATAAAAATAAATAAATAAAATAAAGTCATTCTGTCCAACTACAAAAAAATTTTTAAATAAATAAATAAATAAAATAAAGATATTGACAACTACAACTAAAAAGTATTAAAAAAATAATAATACAAACTTAAAAAAATTCGCTAAGATGCTCAGGCTGGCTTCAAACTTGAGATCTTTTGCTTGGCCTTCTGAGCAGCTGGGATTACAGGAGTGTACCACCTGGCTCATCCTCTGAGTGTGTGTGTATGTATTTGTTATTGTTGTTTTCAGTTGTAGATGGACTCGGTTGTAGATGTATTTATTGTAGATTTATTTATTTATTTTTAAATAAATAACAGTGCCTCACGCGTGCTAGGCAAGTACTCTACCACTGAGCCACAAACCCAGCCCTCATCCTGTGATTTTTTTACAATTGAAAACTTGGGGGTGGGGGGTGGCTGGGGTTGTGGCTTAGTGGTGGAGCCTGAGGCACTGGGTTCCATCCTCAGCACTACATAAAAACTAAATAAATAAAGTAAAAACAAACAAACAAACTTATCCAGGCATGGGGTGCATGCCTGTAATCCCTGCAGATTGAGGCAGGAGGATTGAGAGTTCAAAGTCAGCCTCAGCAACAGCAAGATTACTAAGCAACTCAGTGAGACCCTGTCTTTAAATAAAATACAAGTAGGGCTGGGGATGTGGCTCAGTGGTTGAGTGCCCCTGAGTTCAATCCCCAGTACCAAAACAAAACAAACAAATAAACAAACAAAACTTACAGGCTGGGAATGTGACTCAATGACAGAGGTAAAGGCCCTGGGTTTGATACCCAGAACCATAAAACAAAAACAAAACAAAACAAATCCTCCCAAACCCCACAAAACCAAAACTTAATAACCTACTTTAAAAAATTATTTTTTAGTTGTAGTTAAACACAATATCTTTATTTTATTTATTTATTTTAATGTGATGCTGAGGATCAAACCCACGGCCTCGCACGTGCTAGGTGAGCGCTCTACCACTGAGCCACAATCCCAGCCCCCTGTTTTTTTTAATGGTTTACTTCTCTCCCTTAACTCATTAAGCCCTAATCTGTGGATATTCAAAAAAAAAAAATTGACACAAATGCATTAAAGTAAGTTGAAATCACTATCTACAGTTTATATATACATATATATATATGCATGTAATAATAATATATAGCAAATAATATATTATTTAAATCATTATAAGTATATTATTATTATGTAATTGTATATTATATACCATATTTGTCTTTTGTTTCTGGGCGTTGAACCTGGGGGTGCCTTATTACTGTGCTTTTCCCCTGTCCTTTTTACTTTTTGAGATGGAGTCTTGCTAAATTGCTGAGGGTGTCCTCAAACCTGCAATCCTTCTGCCTTGGCTTCCACAATCACTTATTACAGGCATAAGCCACTATTCCTGGCATTATACATCAACCCTTCCTTCCTCATAACTATTTATTTGAGTATCATACCTACAGACTCCTGAGTAACTGAGATTATAGGCCTGAGCCACCATGCACAGTCATGTTCTTCATTTATTTTTTGTGGTACTGGGGATCCAGGAACTCAGGAACGCTAGGGAAGTGCTTTGCCACATCTCCATCTCAAATTAAAAAGGAAAAGGCCAGCAGCTCAGGAGGCTGAGGCATGAGGAGGCCAGTCTCAGAAATTTAGTAAGGCTTTAAGCATCTTACCTTGTCTCAAAATAAAAAATAAAAAGAGCTGGGGACTTAGTTCAGTAGTAAAGTGCCCCTGGTTCAATCACAGAAGAAAGAAAGGAGGGAAGGGAGGAAAGACAGGCTGGGGAGGTCAGTGGTAGAGTGCTCCTGGGTTCAATCTCCAGTACTACAAAAGATTAATCAATAATAAAATCCACCATAATCTCGCTTCCTTCCCAAAGGTAACTATGGTTAATTTTCATGTATTCTTATCTAAAATTGTTTTAAGCAAATAAATATTTCTACCATCTTTTTAAACAGAAAGATGTCATATTAGATATACCGATCAAGTGCTTTTTTAAACTTCATGTGTTAGATATATGGTAGATTATTAATAAATTCGTCTTTCTTTCTAATCGTTACTAAGTATTTTCAATACTTCCCAAAATTATATATCCTATCTGCTTATGACAGACATTTGAATTGTTTAAAATTTTTAGCATTATAGTAATGTTGCAATAAAATTCTTATATGGTCATCTTTGAGTGTTTTGTGGGCTTCTCTAAGGAATACTAGAGGTAGATTTGAGTCAGTGAGTATTTTAAATTATAATATTGTCAAACTGCCCCTCCCACTAACAGCTACTTTTTAGTGTATGAGAGTTTTTGCTTATTCAAACTTTTGACAACACTGTGTATTATCAATGTTCTGAATTACTGTCAATCTTATAAATGAATATGACCCTTATGTATTCAAACTGAACAATCTTTTCCTTTATGGCTTCAGAATTTCATGTCATGCTTATATAAGGCCACCCTCTCTACTAAACATTGACCAAAACATTTTCTTTTAGTGATTTTTGCTAAACAACGAAATCTTTCACTCATATGGAAGTCATTTTAGTGTAAAGAACAAGCTCTATTCTTGGAAAAATTAAAAGGTGAGAGGTGATACTCTGGCAAAAATTACTAAGAAAGCTGGTAACCCCAAAGCTGTTGACAAATATTACATTAAAGAAAATTATTAAAATTTCTAGCATTTGTGCACTCAATTGAAATATTAAGTAATAGCCAGGTGTGGTGGCACAGACCTGTTATCCCAGCAACTTGGGATGCTGAGGCAGGAAGATAACAAAGCTTGAGGCTAGTCTCAGCAACTTAGTGAGACCCTGTCTCAAAAAATAAAAAGAGCTGGGGATATGGCTCAGTAATAGAGCTCTCCCTGGGTTCAAGCCTTAGTAACACCCCCCCACACAAAAAAAAATAAAAGAACAGACACTTTTAAAAGCATCCTCCATAGATGACTCTGGCTATAAAGGAGAAACAATGCAGATGTACAATCGTCCTATATCTTTCTATATAACAATAAAGGTCCTTAGGAACTTGAGTAAATTTAACAATATAATCTTCAACTTTTCATACTGAATACATTAAAAAAAGCCAAATTTGCATCATAAGCAATTCATGTACAAAAAATTTCATTACAAAAGATGAAGTCATATTTGAATTTACTTTTAAATTAAGAGATTTTAGTCTGGTGCAGTGGCACATACCTGTAATCCCAAAGGCTAAAGAGGCTGAGGCAGAAGATCCAACCTGAGGTCAGCCTCAACAACTTAGTGAGACCTTGTCTCAAAAATAAATAAAGGGGGGGTGGGGGCGGCACCTGACATTGTGGCTCAGTGGAAGAATGCTTGCTTAGCATGTGTGAGGCACTGGGTTCGATCCTCAAAACCATATTAAAATACTGTGTCCATCAAAGATAAATAAATAAAATGGCTTGGGATGAAGCTCAGCGGTTGAGCACCCTTGGTTCAATCCCCAGTACTGCAAAAATAAAGAATTAAATTAAGAAAGACTTTTCTTGAAACTTTGCATCCTGTGGCTATACAAAGTTATACAAAGTATATGTAAATATACTTTGTATCCTATGGCTTCAATATGGCTTTGCACTTTTGACTTCCACAATTAAGATATTCAGTTCAACTACACAGTCTGGCTCAATCATACAATTAAAAAAAAATTAAAAAATAAAATAAAATCACATACACAAAAAAGCCTATACCACTGAATTTAACAAATGAGATTATAAAGTGTGTATATTTAATCATAATTTTTAAAAGATGTTTTAAAAAATGGTTTGTTCTCTAACAAAACACTGTTTCCTCTTATGAGAGACTTTAAAAATAAAAAATATGTACAGGCTTCATGTTTAAACAATCTTATACAAGAGATTTTTTACATGGGCTTCCACAAAATAACTAATTTCCCCATAAGTACTGAGTTTAGTGTTTACATATTAAATATTTCAGATTCTCATACTAAAGAAAAGCTTAAATTGAGGATTAAACATACCTCCTTTCAAAACAACTTTTTAATGAAGAAAAGTAACAATAGCTAAACACAAAAAACAAGATATTCCACACACACAAAAAAACCCACTTCATACCTCTTGTCAGCAAGATCTGTTTTATTTCCTACTAGCATGATGATAACATCACTTCCTCTTTCTGTTCTGACATCATCAATCCATTTTGTAGTTTGCTGGAATGAGTTAACATCTGGTATAGGAGGGTGGACAGAGAGATTAGTGTTACTGAAATGCTACTTAAGTGACAGACAGCACTCCCTCACCCTGCAAGTTGGAAGAGGGATGGCACATTATGAACCCACTTTTAATGTGCCTACAACATAACTCCATTTTATCTGATTACATCTGTCAACCATCTAAACAAATCTGAATAATAAAATTCTCAAGGTTCCTTCTATATGTAAGTTAAACTTTTTTAAAAATAATAATCAAATGAGCACAATGTAGTATATAATTGGAAAAAAATTTAAAACTTTTTAAAATGTAAGGACAGCTATGGCAGATAATATGGTGTTATATTGCCACAATGCTTTTTTTGATCACTTACACATACCAAATATGACAAAGAAAGCATTTCCAAAAGTATGTCAGCCAGTAAGTCCCAACACATCCAGAAAAATTTGTAAAGCCTTCAAATAGCTTTCAACACCACTGTGTTTGTGTTGCTTATTCAGTTTGTGATCACTTTATCCTGAAGTTTATTAGTTTTATGCACCAGAATCACATCTAAAAGAATTCATCTTTTCCAGTATTAGATTTTTTCTTTTTTTGGGATGGTGCTAGTAATAGGTTCTAAATAGAGTACTTCAAAATCTTTTTCACAGTGGCTAAAGAAAACAATTTATTAATGTTTTAATATATCTATGGAATTTTTAAAGAAAAATATACCAAGTTTCATTTGCTTTGGTTAAAGTGAGCACAAACATGTCAAAGCTACAAAACTGGTCAATGTATAACAATGAACATACTTAAAAAAAAAAAGAAACAAAAAAAAAAAACAGCAACCCAAAGTAAAGCTGCAAGAGAATAAAGATTGCATATAATACTTATCAAAAAAAAAAAAGAAAAAAAAAAAGGAAAAAAAATCCCTGGATGCAATCTTCTAAGTCATTGCAATTACTATTTAGTACCTATGATGTCTGAGCAAATATACAAAGATATCTAGTAATATTATTACCAGCTCAAATCAATAAAAATAATTTAAAGAAGTCCAAGATGCTATATAATATTGGTTTTTTCATAAAGTATGGACCACTATATGGAATGATTAAACATTGCCTTATGTATATAGATAAACCAATTTACAAAGACAATTTCAATCACAGAGCATTTCCTGTCAGTCTCCAATGTGCCATGGAAAATTTAGTCACTTCAAAAGTCAAAGGCATTGCTCAGTCTTTGGGGAAAAGAAAAAGACCATTACTTGTTTCATTCCCATTTAAACATTTTTCTTGAAGAGAAACCTAAGTGTGATTTGTTAGCAGCAAAGTATGTCAAAGAATCTAGATATGGCTCAAACAAAAATCATCAATAGAGACGTGCACATTATGTTTTCTCTGTCTTCCTCACTAAAGAAAGAATGGCTGGAAGGAGGAAGCAGAGAAAAGCTGGCTAGCAGAAGCTTTTAATAGCCTCAACAGAGCCTGGTAAGATTTAGAAAACTTTGCAAGAGGCTTAGATGCAGAATACTTTTATATTAGAGAAATCTGAGATCAAATTAAATGAAAAAGGAGACTATAATTCCACTATAATTATGCCATGGCTTAGGGACAAAAAGATATTAAGAAAATATTTAAAAAAGATTCATAATTGGACCTGAAAGACAATTCTGGGGTGAAAAACTTGGCACAGTAGAAATGAAGCATATTGGTACAAACACCAAAGCAAGTACTTCTGACCTGGCTGGTCTGTGATAAAGTTTGCTATGACAAAACTTATTTTTACATGCCAGTAAGGAAAACAAGCACAAGACAAGAACATGCATGCAGGTAAGCTAGAGGTTGAAGAAGATCAGAAATGCATAATTCCCCCCACTCACTTGTGATATCATAAACAACAACTGCCACAGTGGAGTCACGAATGTAGCTAGGAATCAAGCTCCTGAACCGCTCTTGACCTGCTGTGTCCCATAATTGCAATCGTACCTAACAACAAAATCAGTCAAACAAGCAAGAAAAATAAGAAAGGTCAACCCGTTGCAATATACCTACTTGTGATATCGTAAACTACTACAGCTGCAGCAGAATCACGGATGTAACTGGGAATGAGGCTACGGAAACGTTCCTGACCCGCAGTATCCCACAGCTGCAGCCTGATCTGTGGGATGGGAAAAAATAAATAAAAAAAAAAAAAAACCAAAACCAAAACAAAAAAACTAATACTTGAGGAAAAAAACGAAAAGAAAAAAAAGAAATAATGTTTTTTGTAAAGGGGGAGGATGAAAGGTAGAAAGAAGACTCATGCAAGAGGTTGCAAGGAAGTAAGGAATGAAAATTAACATAAAACTCCCTTTACAAAAAAATATAATATGAAAAATTTGCTCACTGTGAAGGTACATGACTGAAAAATGCCACTGTGAAAGATGACACAGAACCAGAAATATGAATTCACTTCTTTCCCTCCTTCTAATCTTTTAAAATCCCTGTCTTCCAGATGACAAAAAGTAGACTACTGATGTTCAAATACTGAACATAAAAGATAAAATGAAGGAAAATGTCAATGAGCAGCTCAAGCTAACAAGAGTAAAGGAATTAAGCTTTTTGAAAGCCTCTCTGAAGCTAAAACGTCTTTCCCACTGGGTCTAGAACAATGGATTTTTTTTGTCTCCCCACCTCCAGTATTGGGATTGAACCCTGGGCTAAACCAGCACTTCACCCCTAAGCTATATCCCTAATCCTTTTTATTTTATTTTCAGGCAGGGTCTCATTAAGCTGCCCAGGCTGGCCTTGAATTTGTGCTCTTCCAGCCTCGGCCTGTGGAGTAGCTGGGATTACAAGCATGGTTTTTTGTTTTGCTTTGTTTTTTATTTTGCAGTGCTGGCGACTGTATCCAGGGCCTTCTGCATGTTAGGTGAGCACTCTACCACTGAGCTACATCTCCAGCTCTGGTATCTTTCACTACTGTACTTCTTTCTCCCCAGAACATTATAGATAATGCATCAAAAAGGAGAAATATCTTTCTGCAACCCTACATAAAAATTTCTTTACTTTCTCACATCTACATTATAAGATGAAAAGTGTGAAAACAAGCATCAAGTTTTCTTACCAGTGTAAAGCAGTTTCCCAGCTTTCAAGGTTTAAGAAATGGTAATTATATATGAAGACAAAAGAAAACATCCAAAAGAAAAAATTCACACTAATAAGAAATAACACTGGAGATAAAATAGTTTTTGGGGGATGCAGGTCTTGCAATATTGCATCTAACTTATTTATTATTTAGGTGACAGGAATCATTTCAAGGAAGAATAAGCTAGAATACAGAATTTACATTGTATTTAAAAGGGAAAACTCAAAAAGAATGGAAGATAAATATGCAAGTGCAAATATACATTATTTCTTCCTATTTAGTCACTTTGGAATATATCCTATTATGACAAAGAAAATCTTGGAAGTTCACAAAAGCATAATATTTGAATGATAGATTTCTGAATGTCTCAAATGATATTCCAAAGGTCTTCAGCAATTCTGATTTCTTCGTGAAAATTCTTTTCTCTCTTAAAGCTCTCTGTTGTCATTTTTCCAAATCAAGACAACAAATTTTGTTTAACAGGGCTAGGGATATTAGTATTTTACAAAACACTTGACGTTCTCTTCCTCTTTGGATCTTCAATTGGGTATAAAAAGTCAGAATGTGAAAAACAACTCGTGGTAATAACAGTTTTTCTCAAGGCCTATACACCAACTTTGGTAACTGCTAAGTACTTCTGATGGTGACAGTAACTGATTATAGTTTATCTGAGTTTTCTAACCTGGAGTGTTGGAGAAAACTGCACATTGAAAGCATTACTCACTGTTCGATCCTCCAAGTACATGGTTTTTGATAAAAAGTCAATGCCAATTGTTGCCTATAAAACAAAACAAGACAAAGTTAACAAATAATGGTGTGGCCAGCAGTTAAGGTGCAAATGGGATTTATGATTGTAGAAGAAACAACAAATAGATACACTATAGCCAAGTAAGAAGAAATAAAATTTTCAGTAATAATGGCTTCCACATATTAAGCACTTCTCTTTGTTAGGAATTACTTTAGGCTCTTTATATGATCATTTCTAATCATCAAACATTCCTGCAAGGTAACTTATTCTCATCCTTGTTTCTCTCATTTTACAGATAACAAGACCAAAGAATTTTAGTTTGCATATTTATATTTGAATATTCAAACATCTGTATTTGAACACTAGTTTGAAGATTATTCTGAATATTCCCCAGACAGAATGGTGCTATTTGTTCCACTAGTAATTTTATACAATATTGCTGATGTGAATTGTTGTTCTGCCTGAATTTCCTATATAATGGCTTGTCAACTGTCCTAATGCCACAGATTTCCAGAGACCCAGAAATATGATTTTTAAAAGAGATAGTTTTTCCAATATAAAAGAAAATTAGGCAGGGCTGGGGTTGTAGCTCAGTGGTTGAGCAATTGCCTCACATGCATGAGGAACTGGATTCAATCCTCAGCACCATGTAAAATAAATAAATGAATAAATAAAATAAAGATATATAAAAAAAAGAAAATTAGGCGCTGGAATTGTGGCTCAGTGGCAGAGTGCTTGCCTCACATGTAAGGCACTAGGCTCAATCCTCAACACCACATAAAAATAAGTAAACAGACAGACAGACAGACAGACACACACACACATACACACACACAAAAATATATTGTGTCCATCTACCACTAAAAAGAATATTTTTAAAAAAGAAAATTAGGCAAGGAAAACTTTTTCCTCATACTACACAATGATTATCAGCTTCCTTCTATGATCCAAATAATGAAATATTCTGTTATCTGGCTGCTACTTTGCCCATCAAGGAAGAGGGGGGGAAAAAAGGAGAAACAGTGAAAGAGTGGGAAAAAGGCAAAGACTAGAACAATGAAGGGAAAAAGTAGATAAGTTTAAGAATCCAAAATTAAATTTGGGAGGTAAAAAAAGAGAGGGGGAGAAAAAGGTGGCAAAGGACCCAGAAAAAGTATACCGATGCAAATTCTACTACAGAAGATTAATCATCCCATTAGTAAATGTGCTTATGTATTTTTTATGTACATGTGTGTGCCTTATCAACTTTCCCCCTACATATCTTTGTGTTGTATTATGCAGAACAGAAACCAGGTAGATTGTGGGTTTTCCAAACGAGTTATTAAAAATTAAAGCATATTTAAAAACATGAAATCAAACACTGAATCAGAAAAGTGGTTCATGGGCTACAGGTATAGCTCAATGAATGTCTAGTATACACAAGCTGGGTTTGATTATAGGAGAAGAAAGGAAGAAAAAGTGGTTCAACCAGTTGGGATTTTATTTATTTCTCACTAGAATTTTGTGTAGAACAATCTAGAGCTTTTTTTTTTTGTACCCTGTATTGAATTCAGGAACACTTAACCACTAAGCCACATCCCTAGCCCTTTTTTGTATTTTATTTAGAGATGAGTCTTACTGAGTTGTTTAGGGACTTGCTAAATTGCCGAGGCTGGCTTTGAATAGATACTCCTGTCTCAGACTCCTGAGCCGCTGGGATTACAGGTGTGTGCCACTGCACCTGGCTTAGAGCTTTAACTTTAAAGGGTTAAGGGTATATTCAATATACCACTATCTTTCTGAAAATGTTCCTTATGTGCCTAAAACTTACTGATTTATCTATGCCATCTTGTGCTTATATTTATTGGTAATCTCTAATATCCTTTGGAATAATAAGTCCTCTAAATCTAAAATAATTTCAAAAGTTATTCTGAGCAACATTATTTGCTCAAGAATGAATTTACTCCTAAGAGAATAAAATCATGGCACTGGCAGGTAAATGGATGGAGTTGGAGAATATATTGCTAAGTGAAGCAAGCCAATCCCCAAACACCAAAGGCCGAGTGTTTTCTTTGATATGAGGATACTGACTCATAATGGCAATGGCAGGGGAGCATAGAAGGAATGGAGAAACTTTATATAGGGCAAAAGGGAGGGAGGGGATGGGAGGGGGGAATGATGGTGGAATGAGTTAGACATCAGTACATGTATAAAGACATGAATGGTGTGAAAATACTTTGTATACAACAGTGACTTGAAAAATTGTGCTCTATATGTGTAATATGAAATGAATTGCATTTGCCATCATGTATAACAAATAAGAATAAATAATTTTTAAAAAAGAATGAATTTACTCCAATTGTGGAAATCTTTCCTGAGCTTATATTAAATTGAACTATATAAAAATTGCCAATGTTTTATTATTTTTAAATTATACAAATTGTAACAATATGGTTCAAACTAAAACTTGAAACTGTTAGATAAGTCTATGGTTTTACAATTGGAAAAAGAAAAGGAACTGTGAAAAACAAGAGCTACTTAAGAGAATCACTTCCACATACATATGGTCAATTCTTGATCTTTAAAGAATACTTGAGCTGGGTGCAGTGGTGTATACATGTAATCTCAACTACTCAGGAGGCTGAGGCAGGAGGATTGCAAGTTCAAGGACAACCTGGGCACCTCCTAACTTAGTGAGACTTTGTCTCAAAATGAAAAAGAAAAAGGGCTAGGGATTTAGTTCAGTGGTAGAGCATCCCTGGGTTTAGAACCCAGTAACATACACATACACACATACACACACACACACAGAAAATACCTGAAACAATTTAAAGCCAATTTTTCTAAGTAAGAATGTAGAGTGCTATATGTCACACAAATTTTCTTTGATAGATTTATATCTTTGGACCTAGTACTGTACTTCTTATGAAAAAAATCATAGCGAATAATCATAAATTAGCCTCTCCTCTTAGTGCCAAAGCACATAACATTGGGCTTCCCCTTAGCAACTTTAACACAAAGAATCAAAATCTTTCCTTACTTGTCAAATTCCACATAACCTCACTCCATCAATGGCACTTTCGGTATGCTTAAAAGGTCTCCTTAATTTCTCAGAGAATTTGGGTATAATTAAAGTACTTTTAATACATCCAGAAAACTCTACAGTCTTTGCTCCCAATTCTTAAGGCTTAGTTCAAATTTTTTATGCTGTGATTTTTGGTTCTACTCTCACAGATTCAAGCTTATACCCTCAGGAATTCTTCATATCTAGCCCAATAACCTCAACACTTCTTTAGTCCCTGAGCCTGGCATTTGTGGGCCCTCTGCTGAAAAGAAATAGAAGCACTGCATAGAAACAAGACAAGTATGTCTTCTTCTTCTACTTCTAATTAATATCATACCAGAGGGTTTAATCATCAATCTAACTGAAACAAACAAATGCACTGACGTTAACAGGCAACAGTTTAAAACTGACTACCAATAAATTTCATGATATGTAACAGTCAAAAAGGGTACCCTCTTCCTCCTCTAAAAATAGCAAATTAGGGCTGGGCATTATATAGATCAAAGTCATTACCATACTGTGACCATTCTTTCTTTAAGGCAGTACTTTTTTTTTTTTTTGGTAGTTATAGATAGACACAATACTTTCATTTTATTTATTTACTTATTTTTATGTGGTGCTGAAGATTGAACCCAGTGCCTCACACATGTGAGGCAAGTGCTCTACCACTGAGCTACAAATCCAGCCTTTTAAGGAAGTTCTTTCATAGCACTTTTAACTAGATGAATGATTTGATTGCTAACTTGTACAATTTTTCCCCACTAGAAGTTCTCTGAGAGCAAGGCTTCATCTATTTGTTCATTGCTGGAACCCAGGATATAAAACTGTGCCTGCGGATTTGGCTTTTTTTTTTTTTTTTTTTTTTTTGGTACCATAGATTACCCACTGAGCCAAATCCCCAGCCCTCCCCTACTTTTTTTTTTTTTTTTAATTTTGAGACAGGGTCTCACTAAGTTGCTTAGGGCCTTGCTAAATTGCTGAGGCTGACTTTGAACTTTTGAACCTCCTGCCTTAGCCTCCTGAGCTCTTGGGACTATAGGTGTGTGCCACCATATCCTGGCTGGGACTGGCTTTCGTTTCAATGGGAAGAAGACCTTTCCCATATTAGAATGAAAGAACTGGTATAATTACATATCTAGAGCTGATGTAAGGAAAAAAGTAATAAGAGTTTTCCTGTTCACTAACTTCCATTTCCCTAACAAACATGGTCTTCAAAGTAAGGGCCAGAGAATAGTGGTTACAGTGATATAAAGATCAGGTTTGAGGAGTATAGAATAAATATAAAATAGTTACTAAACTCAGTAGAATTTATATAATCCAGCTGATACTAGCAACACTAACATTCAAAGAGAAAAGAAATGATGAATTCAATTACAATATGGATTTTGCCGGCAGATGAACTGAGCCAAAAGGAGCCTAGACATTTAACAATGTTTCCCATGGAATTTAAGGTAGAAAAGTAGGAAAGTAGAAGGTAGAGGGAAACAGAATTTGATGTTTACAAATATTATGAAAGAATTAGAGGATCTGAGGTTTTTATCTAAATTGCTGGCATAAAATTTTACGTAATTATTATAAGAGTACTTGAACAAAAAACTTAGGATAGAAGTTGACAGTCTAAGAAGAAAATTCTATGGAGAATATCTGTAATGGTTCTACTAACCATAACATAAAAATCAATGATTTTGGTTGATCATGGAAATGAAAACACAGAAAGGAAAATAAAAATGAAAGTACAGGAGGTTAACAGATTTCTATGTGAACAATTACTAATGCCTCAAATGGTGATGGATTAGAATGAAGAAGAAAACAATGAGACAACACTTAAAGTCTTCAAAGACATAAAGACAAGCAATGTTTTTCTAAATGGTAAATGATAATAATCACAAAAGGATAAAGCTTTTGAGTTGGGTACAGTGGCACAAGCCTATAACCCCAGGAACTTTGCAACTCCAAGGTCAATCTCAGCAATTTAGTGAGACTCCCTAGAAACCTGGAAAGACCCTATCTAGAAATAAAAAATTGAAAGAGCTGGGGATGTGGCTCAGTGGGTATACGCCCATGGATTTAATCCCTGGTACCAAAAAGAGAAGAAAGCATTCAGTCTCTCATCATTAAATATAATGACTCTGTTTACCATTCTGAGAAAGTTCCCGTCTATTTCTAGTTTGTTGAGTGTGTATGTATTTTAAAAGTAATAAAAATTGTACAAGTCTATGGAGTACAAAATGATGTTCAGATATGTTTACATTGTATAATGATGATAGCAAGATAATTAGCTTATCTATCTCCTCAACCATTAATCTTTTCTCTATAATGAAACATTAAAACTCTAAAATAATAACCTAGCCTTCCAAGCTAGAGATAAAATCTCAGCGGCAGAGCACTTGGCCTAACATGTGCAAGGCCCTGGGTTCAATCCTCAGTACTGCGAAAAAGAAAGAAAAAAACACCAAAACCAAAAAACCTAACTTTTCCCATTTAAGGTTAGCCCTGCCTTCTGTCAATCATTTCCTGATCTAGTTACTGGGTTCACCATACCTGAATAATAAAACCTAAATTTTAAAGTAACTTCTTTCTTCGGCTTTCTTGGCTTTTCTTTTTCTAGCTTTTTAAGATGGAAGATTAAGTTATTAGTTTAATCTTTTCTGTATAGTACTGCTTTTAAGCTGTCTTCCATTAGCTTTGATATATTGTGTTTTATCTTTTTATTTATCTCAAAGTATTTTCTAATTTCTACTATAATCTCATCTTTGACATTTATTAAGGAGTACATTGTTTAATTCCACCTATGAATTTCTCAAATTTCTTATGTTAATGATTTTTAATTTCATTAACTCATTTATTCGATTTCAAGTATAGATCAAAATGTTATAGAATTCCTAGACTTGGATTAATTCTCTATAAGAAAACATCCACTATCACTTCTAATTCCCTCCCTGATGGTATAGAAATGATCTTCCAATAAACTTTAGGAGAGGAGACAAATTGAATATAAGGTTGAAAACTGTGAGAAAAAGCATATATGATCATATATATGTGTGTATGTGTGTGTGTTTATATATATACATATAGTATTTTACACATTACAGAAAGTGCTTCTACATTCATGAATACATGTAAATATTACAAGTAAAATTAAAAAAAATCTTGAATGTTACTTCTAACACAGAATAGAAAACTATCATAAATTGATAAAAACAAATTACCTGATAAGTGTTGTCAAAACTGTCATACATGAATCTGGTGATCAACGATGTTTTTCCAACTGAAAAGAAAAACATATTTGCTTAGTTAACACATTGTGTTCTCAGGCAATTCTATGAAGAACTGCAATTTAATTCTATGGAGAATATCTGTAATGGTTCTACTAACCCTAATTAAAAACCAACTATCCCCCAAGTTTGCCAATATTGTTGTTAAAGCAACAATCTCTTTAAATTAAGACCAATGGAACAGAATAGAAGACACAAAGACACACCCACATAAATATAGTTACCTCATACTAGAGGAAGGTGCCATAAACATATATTGGAACAAAGATAGCCTATTCAACAAATGGTGCTGGGAAAACTGGAAATCCGTAGGTAGTAGAATAAAATTGAACCCCTATCTCTCATCCTGCATAAAAATTAACTCAAAGTAGATCAAGGACTTAGGCATTAGACCAGAGACCCTGCACTTACTAAAAGAAAAAGTAGGCCCAACCCCACATCATATCAGCTTAGGAACCAACTTCCTCAACAAGACTCCTATGGCACAAGAAGTACAATCAAGAATCAATAAATGGGGGAGCTGGGGTTGTGGCTCAGTGTAGAGCGCTTGCCTAGGATGTGTGAGGCACTGGGGTTTGATCCTCAGCACCACATATAAATAAATAAAGGTCCATCAACAACTAATAAAATATATATAAAAAAAGAATAAGTGGATGGAATCAAACTAAAAAGCTTCTTCACTGCAAAGGAAACAATCAAGAATGTGAACAGAGAGCCTATAGAATGGGAGAAAAATCTTTATCACCTGCATCTTAGAGTATTAATCTCCAGGTTATACAGAGAACTCAAAAAATTTAACACCCAAAAAACAAATAACCGGATCAATAAATGGGCAAAGGAACTGAACAGGCACTTCACAGAAGAAATACAAATGGTCAAATAATATATGAAAAAATGTTCAACACCTCTAGAATTAGAGAAATGCAAATTAAAACTACACAGAGTTTCTATCTCACTCTAGTCAGAATGGCAATTATCAAGTATATAAGTAACAATAAGTGTTGGTGAGGATGTGGGGGAAAAGATACACTCATACATCACTGGTGGGACTGCAAATTGGTGCAACCACTATGGAAAGCAGTATCGAGATTCCTTAAAAAACTTGGAATGGAACCACCATTTGACCAAGTTGTCCCACTCCTCTGTCTATACCCAAAAGACTTAAAATCACTACAGTCACAGCCATAACAATGTTTATAGCAGCTCAATTCACAATAGCCAAACTATATGGAACTATAGGTGTCCTTAAATGGATGAATGGATACAGAAAATATGGCATACATACACAATGAAATATTACTCAGCCATAAAAAAGAATGAAATTATGGCTTTTGTGGGTAAATGGATGGTACTGGAGAATATCATGTTAAGTGAAATAAGCTAATCGCAAAAAAACCAAAGGCCGAATGTTCTTGCTGATATGTGAATGCTAACCCACAACAAGGGAGGGTAGAGAAGGAAAGAATATAAGTCCACTGGATTAGACAAAGGGAAACGAAGGGAAGAGAGTGGGCAGGGAAATAGGAAGGACAGTAGAATTAATGGGACATAACATTCCTAGTCTTGTATTTGAATGCACTACCAGTGTAACTCCACCTCATGTATGACCACAAGAATAGGATCCTAATTAGAATAAGCCATACTCATGTATGCATAATGTGCCAAACATTCTACTGTCATGTGTAACTAAAAGGATTAAAAAAAAAAAAAAAGCACCTTGGAGAGGAAAAAGTAAATTAGAATAGCCAAGGCAAAGGTAGTAGTAGTAGTACCTTCCTATAATCCCAGCTACTCAGAGGCTGTGGCAGGAGGATCACAAATTTGAGGTCAGCCTGGACAATTCAGTGAGACACTATTTCAACATACATACATACATAAATGAAAAGGGCAAGTTCTATGAAGAACTGCAATTTCTTGAGGATGTAACTCAGTGTTTGCTTAGCATATGAGAGGTCCTGGGTTCCATTCCCAGTATAACAACAGTGACAGGAAAGAGTGTTTAGTTAAGAGTTGAGGAAAATGAAGAGTCTGATCTCGGGCTGAGGTTGTAGCCTAGTGGCAGAATGCCTGCCTAGCCTGTGTGGGACACTGGGTTCAATCATTAATACTGCATAAAACAAATAAATAAAATAAAGGTATTTTGTGCATCTACAACTACAAAAAAAAAAAAAAAAAAAAGAATCTGATCTTACTACTTACACAGAGAAATCACAAAGATTCACAATTCTATTCTGTATTGGTATTTTTAGGAAAGGACCACTAGGCCAAAAATAGTGGAAAGCTGGAAATTTCCTTAGTAATGAGCATTATTTCCAAGAACAAAAACATACCAAATTATTTTTCTATCTTGGCACAGACTAAGTATTAAATAAATGCAAGAAATTCTATCAATTAGAAAGGCACTGGATAAATAAGTCTCTAATGCTTCCCGAAATATAAATACTTTGGGAGATGATAAAATCCATAACAAGTCATTTCCATTTTAGTATGTATTACATAAATTACATTACATTTTAGTATGAAAAGTTACTTAAACTTTTGATTTTAAGCTAATTTTTAGAGGCCAGATGCTGGCCTCTACCTTTCCCTCTTTTCATATGCCCTATGAAAACCTGACAGGAAGGTGCTGGGGTTGTGGCTCAGTGGTAAAGCGCCTGCCTAGCACTTGGGTTGATCTTCAGCACCACATAAAAATAAACAAATAAAGGTATTATGTTCATCTACAACTTAAAAACAAACAAAAAACCTGAGAGGAAAAAGTATTCTCAGTATAGGTGGTCAGTATACAAAAATCAATTATATTTCTAGTGGCGGTGGCACAACCTAGGAGACTGAGACAGGAAGATAGTGAGTTCAAAGTCAACCTCAGCAACTTAGCAAAACTCTGTCTTAAAATAAAATATAAAAAGGGCTGAGGACATGGCTCAGTGGCTAAGCATCCCTGGGTTCCATCCTTGGTACCCTACATCAAAAAAAATTTACTTGGAGAGGAAAAAGTAAATTAGAATAGCCAAGGCAAATTTACAGAACAAAACTGGGCAACTTACACTACTAAATTTTAAGATTTATCATTAACCTACAGTAAATAAGACAATGTGATATTAAAGTACTGAAAATGGCAAGCTCCAAATGGGAAATATCTGACCAAGGAAATAGTTTCAGCCTGACAGTGTAAGGTGCTACAAATAAACACTCCCAGTGAAACTAGTAAAAAATTGTTGATATTATAACAAATTAAACATTTAAATGCCTCTGAAAACAGTTCTAGCATAACAGCAAATAACAAAACATTTATTTTTTAAAAAAATCTAAAGCTCAGTAAGAAAAGAGGCAGTTTATGGTATTTGAAGCAAAAACCATAAAGACTACTTTTTTAAAAAAAAAAAAAAGTTTTTTTTTAGTTGTAGATGGACACAATACCTTTACTTTATCTGTTTATTTTTATGTGGTGCTGAGGTTTGAACTCAGTGCCTCACATGTGCTAGGCAAGCGCTCTGCACTGAACCACATCAGGTTTATTCATAATGGCAAAAAGCCAGAAGCAATCCAAATACCTACCAATAACAGAATGTATAAATTGTGGCATCACCATAAAATTCACACAGGCAAAAGTCATATCCTACTAATATAAAAAACTACATGGTTAAATTTCAGACACTACATAGGAAAGGGAACTCAAAGAACATACATTGAATAATTCCAGTTACATAAATTCAAACCTGGCAAATTTTAGTCAGAATAGGAAGGGGTTTCCAACTGGCAAAGAGGGCCAGGGAATCTTCTGAATGCTGGAAATGATTTATATTTTTATTTGAGTGGCAGTTACGGGGGTATATAAATATGTTAAATTTCCAACAAGTCATATATTTAAGACTTCTCCAGTCAGGGGTGGTGTTGCACACCTGTAATTCCAGCGACTTATAAGACTGAGGCAGGAGAATAGCCATGTTCAAAGTCAGCCTGGAGAACTCTGCAAAATCCTCAGCAACTTACCAAGACACTGTTTCAAAATAAAAAATTAAAAAAAGGGTTGGGGATGTAGTTGGGTAGTAGAGCCTCTAGGTTCAATCTGAAAGACAAAGAAGGGGTGGAGGGAGGGAAAGGACAAACTATTCCTTTTACTCTCCAAGATTCATTCAACCTTGCCTCAAAACACTAGATTTGCTATTATACTCACAAATCCAGCTATTATAACAAATCTTTTTTTTTTAAATTTTAATATTTATTTTTTAGTTTTTGGCTGACACAACATCTTTGTTTGTATGTGGTGCTGAGGATCGTACCCGGGCCGCACGCATGCCAGGTGAGCGCGCTACTGCTTGAGCCACATCCCCAGCCCATAACAAATCTTTACCCAATCCTAATCAAGTTTCTTTCTTTCTTTTTTTTTTCTTTTTTTGCAGGGGATGGGAGGGTACTGGGGATTTAACCTAGGGCCAATTTATCACTGAGCTATAATATATATCCCAAATTTATTATCTTTCTACCACCTACCTACCTATATACTTATTTATTTATTTTAATACTAGGGATTTAACTCAGGGGTGCTTAACCACCAAGCCACATCCTCAGCCTTTTAAATATTTTATTAGACAGGGTCTCATTAATTGCTGAGGTTGGGTTTGAATTGCAATCTTCCTGCCCCAGCCTCCGGAGTCACTGGGATTACAGGCATGTACCACAGCACCCAGTTTATTATTTATTCTGAGACAGAGTCTCACCCAGTTGCTTAGGGCCTCTCTAAATTGCTGAGGCTGGCCTTTAACGTGAGAACCTCCTGTCTCAGCCTCCTGAGTCACTGGGATTATAGTTATGCACCATAGTGCCAGGCTCCAATTCTCATATTAAAGTAGCCACCTTAAATCAGATCAACAAAACACATAAACATCCCAACTTTTCCCTCTTCCCTAAGAGGCTACTGAACTGAGTTGAATACCATACCCCCAAAATTCACATTCACCCAGACCTTACGTGGATATAAATTCTTGCCTGT